TTTGACATGCATTTTGTTTGTTTCTAAGCAATGATGATGAAAACACCTCTGCAGGTCCTTGTAGTCCTTTTAGTGCAGTTGATTTATTACAGGCTTTTGACACTGACTGTCCATGTACATGAATAGCAGAAGGCGTCCTTGGGCCAAAGAGATCCTTACCAGTGGTGTCACTGATTCCTTCACCCACGACTTATTGTCTATGCACATACCAGATTCACTTGGGTGTGAAGTGTCTTGCCAAAGAACACAACAACAGTTTTCACTTTCGAGCCTCATCCCACTGTGGCACCTGGGATTCCCATTGGTCTCCCACCACAATATTCAGCAGGCCACTGCCTTTCTTCTGACATACGTAGGACAGCATCTGACTTTGGGGCTGTAGAGTTCCTTTACCTGACTATGTGAGGATTTTTTTTCAGTGTTACAGCATAACCTGGGCGGCACGGTGGCTGAGTGGATAGCACTCTCGCCTCTCAGCAAGAAGGTCCTGGGTTCGAATCCCGGTTGGACCAGGGCCTTTCTGAGTGGAGTTTGCACGTTCTCCCCGTGTCTGCGTAGGTTTCCTCCGGGTACTCCGGTTTCCCCTACCACTAAAAATATGTCCAATAGTTCTGGCATGTGCCTCCTGTACTGGCCCCGCTCCCATCTCTGTGTGGAGTGAGAGACTAATGCCCATAATTAACAATTGTAAACCGCTTTGAGACTCAGATCTGCAGTGAAAAGGCGGTATATAAATAAAAACTTACTTACTACTTACTAACCTTAAAAATACTTACTGTTTGTCTTTCATTCCATTATATGAAAGACACAATTATCCATTTACTCACTCCTGTCACTTTAGCACTTACTTTATTAACTTCTGCCCCACATGCAAAGTTCCTCAGTACGCATTGTGTTCTTCTTTTCATAAATCAATAACCTATAATTGCAACGATTGTTACTATATTGAGCTGAAGGTTGTACACGGCTGCAGGAAATGCCTGGAGTCAAAACTCTCCTATTTCTCCATCCCATCTTTACCTGAGGCTTTGTCATGCTGCAGTCTGTTGCAGCCTGTTTCTCCCTTCATACATATTCAGACTTGAATCCTAGTTTGTCAGCCCTGCCCAGTTTGTCCCAGGGCAGTTGTGGCTACAGTTGCATTTTACTACTACTGTTTGAAGTTAAAGTTCCGGTACAACTTATTGTTCAATACAGGGAGTGAATAAGTTGCTTAACCATTATCTCTCAAGTATGTGTCGCCACAGGGCAACATTTCTGGGAACACCTATGGCAATGCAACTTCTTGTGTATTTTCAAGTTAAATGAATGGATATTCATTTAACATTCATTCATTCGTTAATAGATTAATTTGATGCCAGACACAGGTCCAGTGAAAGCATCTTCATGATTGTGAAAAAAGCACTGTCATAGGACGGGAATTTCTGAGTTATCAAATTACTTTTTTACATATTCAACATGGTACATGACAGACAAGTAATCAGTCCTGTATTGAAAAATCATCCCAAGCTTGAAGTAGTAGGAGTAGCTTAAAATTACACTGAACGTTATGAGTTGGAACATGCAGTACTAACTAACTTTGAATTTGAAGAAAATCTCACTAAGGAAAGTTCAACCTTCATTATTGAAACGTGAGAGTTTTTACAGATCCCAGACTATTCAATCAACATTTATTCCTGCCATCTCCAGTTAAATTTCATATTCATTACTGCATGCATGTAGAGCCGTGTGATTGATGTGGGTGTCTGCTGGGACTGGTCGGCTGACGTACTTGATGAATCAGAAATCAACTTTGAATGTTTTACTTTCAGTGCATTGTGTGACTGTGCTATTGCAGCACATCCAATTCTCTGTCTCTGCTGCGAAGGGATAATATTTTTGGACTTGGTTTAAGAAGTTATTGGAAGAATCGGATGGCAGCCAAACCTTTTCAGTAGTGAATGGGAGAGCTATTGTTCTTGTTGATTTTGGTTCAGGATGTGTGTGTGTCCCTCTGTGATGTATAGAAGACAATATGAAAAGACAATATTCTTGATGAAAAAAGCTCCCATACAAAGCCATCGACTGATTGTGCTTTTTTTTTGTTGCTTCCTCTCCAATCTTGACGGGATAAGGCGACTTGACTTCAGGATAGGATTAGGATAGTACATTGAGGTGATTATCAATACGTTAGAGGCGCAGAATTATCTATTCCGAGCATGTGTTTGTTGCTTCTGCACAACTTTACCTTACACCTTCTGCATAGAAAACCTCATCTTATTTTCATATTTTTACACCCTAAACGTGTCTCCCATCTCATTGTTTGAACAGTGCTGCTTTAATTAGGACAGAGCACTCCGTCTGCGTGTGCTCAGCTCACGTGAGAATAAAGTTTATTATGAAGTACCTGAGTTGGACGCATGTTACCACACTGCCCCCGTGTGGCGGACAGCAGAAGGACATGGCTGTGTTTGTCACACTCCGATGACATGGTGGTCTATCTGGAAACACAATTTCATGCTATCAGAAAGAGTCTGCTATTTCATTTAGATAGAAGATGTCCACGTGTGTGTGTGTGTGTGTGTGTGTTTGTGTGTGCGCGTGTGTGTGTGTGTGCGCGCGTGCGCGTGCATGCATCTGTTTGCATCAGGCGGGTCGGAGGTGTCGGTCCAACTTTGCTCAAATCATAGCTCTGGTTGTCATGGCAACATTTAGATCCAGCGTAATTATGATGATTAAAATGTGAAAACTAATTAAAAGTCAAGGAAATCATCACATAACAGATTAGGAAAAACATCACACTCCTAAAGTTAGATTACAAGGATTACAAGGAGCAGTGAATTCAGTTGGATTAGATGTCTTGTTTAGGGGTTTTAGACATAGGCAAGATAAAGATAAACGTATCTTTATTTTATTCTATTTTTTTAAGTACAAGCATTCAGTTGACATGGTTTTATTAGAATGCATGGAACATCTGGGGAGTGCAGGGATGAGATTTTTAACATTGGGGAAATGGAAAAGGTCCATGACTGAAAATATTCTTCTCCAGAATCTAAAATTATGTTTTTGTTAAATATGTGCGACATAATTGTCACAATTCTTTGTTACTTCATACAGTCTATGGTTACTTCATAATTACTGTATTTTGCTCTCTCCCTTCCATCATGCTCACCCCTCCATCCATCCATCCATCCATCCATCCATTTTCTACCCTTTAATCCATTTCTGGGTCAGGGGGGTGGCAATCAGAGATGCTCACCCCTCATTTAATTTAATAAACTACAAATCTCATCAGTTCATTTTGCCATCTCCATGTCCTGCATGTGGAGCTGGAAAAGACCACAAACTTTAATCTGTGATAGTTGAACATATCGTAATAAAATAAAGACCCAAATAATTACGTTTTCAAAAAGTAGTTGCCAGATTGGTGCTTTGATTTATAGCTTTAAAATGAATTCTATGAACATTTCATCAAACAAAGCCCATAACCAAGATTGACTTGGCAAGAAAAATTGATTGACTGCTATAAAATCTATGAATGGTTCAAATGTTTTAAAGGAGCAGTGTCCACTCCTACTGGTTTAATAAACTCTTTGCAACTGCAATCTAAACCTTTGTCTCAAATGACACTCATGTGATGTTCAGTCTGCTTTCTATTCCAGGCAGCACGATGGCAAGAAGGCCCTGGGTTTGATTCCACCTCTAGATCTTTCTGTGTGGAGTTTGCATGTTCTTCCCATGCCTACCACTAAAAACATGTGCAAGCCTCTGATCTGTGAAAGGCAGAAAGGCACTAGATTTAAGTACTTATTACCAAAACACATATTCAGAATCTACCCCCAAACTAAATCTACATCAAAGGGAAACCTGGAATTTAGCACTCAGCGCGTGTCACAAGAGTGTGGATGCGTGCGTCGTCTTGCCATGGAAAGAGTAAGACCATGAGTTATGTAAATGAAGAACTTGTTTATCTGTGGATAAAACTAGTTTCACGGTCAGGAGACGGAGCCAAGTCATTGATCAAATGCACAGCTGGCCCTCCCCACAGTGCAGCCCACCTCTCCGACAGCCACCGCTCTGGCCTCGTCTTCAAAGGCTGCGGCGTGTGGCCAGGCTGTGTGAGGGGAAATCAAGAGAAGTCTCATGCATTAGAGAGGAAACACCGCGTTTATGAGGATTTGATGTCTACAAGTCTTCTTTGTTCTCAACTTAGGGCTACAATCATTCACAAGGGAAGCTGTCTTATGATTATCACACCATGCATTCTGTAAAATACAAATTAAGGTCAAACCAACTCATCTCTGTGCACAATAGTTGCTAGCCTGTCTGTGTCTGTATTCTGCTGTTGTACATGTATTTCCTCATGATTTTAAATTCTGCTCTTGTACATGTTCTGTTCTTGTACATGTATTCCCCCATGATTATAAAGTGAATGTGAAAACTGTTTGTACAAGAACTCTGCTTTTCAATAACTCAAAAGTTCAATTATTTTCAAACATCTGCAAAACTGGAAGCTCTGGTTCTACTTTAACATTTTATTAAATGGGTGTTGAATTTTCTTAAAGCATAACTGTACATGCATTCATCTGTTTTTACTTATTTTTGAGCTCATGTATGTTTTGTTTTTGTAGAATCTATGGCGCCCATGAAAAAGGGTGGTGCTCTCATTGAGCCCACTCTGTATGAATGAATAAATAAATATATATATATATTTAAATGGCAAAATAGTAAAACGTTGGAGGTGAAATTTTTCTTGTTGTTGACATAGTAAATAAGAAAAATAAAATCAACAGGATGGAGAAAACGGTGTGCTGTGAGTCTCTAGCTTTTGTGCTTCCTGTAACTTTAGTATGTGAGTACAATGTGCCATGCTATTTATAAAATCCATAAATACATGCTTTCCAGCAATTGCTTTATTATAATTGTATATTTCTTATTATTTCAGATATGTTTCATATTTTCTATTATTTTGTTTTGACAACAGGCACAGAGCCAAGGCAGTCATGTTTTAGGGACTCCTTCTACTTCCTTCTGGTGGGAGTTGGGCTCTTCACTCCTCTGCCCGCTGCCTTGGGCGTGGGACTGGATGCAGCAGGGGAGGGGCTAGGGGCGGGGCTAGGGGTGGGGGCTTTAGGCTGAGGGATCTCAATGGGCTGTTTAGGAGCGATCAGGGTCTTGGGAGTCAAAGTAGGTTTGGCTTCGGGGATCTTCTCACCGTGACGATACACACTGACCTGGGGACAAAAATGTGAGTTTCAGGTTCCTGTCAAATCCATAACAAAGAAAAATTGTATGAAGTTAATTTGATACATTACATTCAGTCATTTATAAATGAATGTTAACACTTTAGCATAGACCCTAGAGGAGTGGACTAACTGAGTGCTGATGTCACCCACAGTGTTTGCAGAATGTGGAAGAAGCCGAAAGTAATGTAATGTAAGATAAACAAATAATTTTTTACATAATGTACTTTCTGGTTTTCACTTTATATCTCTGCAGAAATATCATGTGAATGTCCAATCAGTTTTTAGGAAAAGTTGTTGAGTTCTTTTGTTTTTCGACTGCTGCAAAGTTTTACAAATGAAGGTCAGAAGGAAGTTAGAAAGCCTTGAATAAGCTCCATAACAAACATGATTTGCTAAATCTAAGCTCCAATAAAAGTCGCACAGGGTCAGAAATATTTCACTGACAAAAGCTTTTTCTACTTATGACACTTACCACTATATCCACTGATTCTCCTCCATATTTGTTCTGGACAATCATGGTGTATCTGCCAGAGTCCTCCATGGAGACACCTTTGATGGTCAGGCTGGCAAACTTCCCCTGGTCTATGGAGACCACATACTGCGATGAGAGGGAAGAGATAGACGGAGCTGTCACTTTACATTTTCCTCAGGATATCTTTCACCAGAACTTACTGACTGTTTTAAGCAGTGAGTGACAAGCCTTGTCTTTAGTGAAAGTTGCATTGACCTCATATCATATGAAAAGCAGATTATTTTGGATATTGGACAAACAGAGATAACGACATTTTCAAGAGGCGGAAAAGTAACATTACATCCACTTTTATCTGAAGATATGGCCCTGACTCATAGACAGAGAGTGGTTCAGAAAAACATATATCTCTCAAAGTGCCCACTTGAAGCAAAGGTTTTGTGGACCAGTACTATTTCCCAAGTACCACTTACGCTGCATTATTTCATTTCTATTTTTAAGTGTGTGGGGAAAAAACATGTACCCTTGCAAATGGGTTATAAATGTTGTCTCACTTTTAACATAGTCTTTAAGAGTTTAATAATTACTGCCACCTACACATACGGAAATCAGTGCTTGACTTGTAAAGCGGGTGCTAAGTGCTTGAGAATGGCAAACTAGAACTGATTACTAAATAAAACATATGTTACTTGATCATTCTATTCTTGACTGTAACAGAGATCTCTTTTGAATTGTACATTATTACTATTCATGGTGAGATGAGGGAAGAAGCACCAACAAGATATAAGCAGGTAAGAAGGCGATGGAATGTTGCAGAGGAAGTCCTGTTGGATTACAAGTTTCTCAATAAAAAATCTTCCAGGTTGCGCAGAGCCACAGGATGCTGATGATGTAGAAAGATGCTCCGCAGGCAGGAAACCAATGTTAAGGGATGGATTAGCAAGTAGGTCAATGAGTCAACAGAGTGAGCTTCAGCTTGCACCGAACATTAATAAGACGAGCTTGTTGCAATAATCAACTTAGGAAAGGTTCAAGACAACTTCACGACTACACACAGCGCTGTCCCACTCTTCTGATAGCTCAAGTCTTTCAAAAACCTAACAACCATATTTAAAAAGTGTGGATTCCATTTGCAGTTTTTTCCTTTAAAAGCAGGTGGCGGGTTTTACATGAAATGTAATTTTAAAAACTCAATACTCAACAGCTTTTAGATTACAGCATATTAGATTTGTATTGATCCAGAAATAGATCCAGGAAATTGTACTTTGTAATAAATCTTCTTTTCCATTTCTTTTATGCCTTTGAGTACAGTCTACAGAAAATAGAGACGAGCTGAAGGAAATGACGCACTTTTGAGGTACGCACTCCAATGTAATCAACCCTTTTCTCGAGCTGCAGCCTCTTCCATCAATAAATTGCAAACATGCTTACACTTAAGTCGCATCAAAGAAACATCGACCTATTAAAAGGCTACTTTGAGTGATGCAGTGGGTCCGGCTTCAAAAGGTATTCATCTCCTGGTTGTGGCGTTACTACATATTGATTTAAGATATACTGTATTCTGAACCAGGACACTGCACCAAAAGTGAAATATGCTCTGTTAAACTTGGCACGTTAATAGATACATACTGTTGCAGGGGAGACTACTTAATAAGGTGATTAATCATGGGGAAGGAGGGCTGGACTGATGGAGGGTACGGCAAAGTGCACAAACATCCAACTATAGCTGAGCTTAAACATGTCTTATTAGTGCGACTTCATCAAAGGCATAAACAGCAGAGGCAGACCTGATCATCGGGCTCCACATCCGCTCCGTTCTTCAGCCATGACACCTGAGGCTTAGGGTCACCGCACACTGTACATGTTAAACTCAGAGTCTGAAGAGTGAAATGTCAGATAAATATAAGTATATACATAAATATACATATACACATGTACAAACAAACAAACACGACCTTCTTTTCCATGATTGTAACCACATCTGGCAGTCCTCCCACCACTTTACCACGGTCTGAAACAAGAATAATTCCGATATATATATATATATATATACAACTATACAACTATAGATAGACTTGAGCAAAAATCTAATAGAAAAAGCACTCACTCTTCTCAGCATAGGCCTCAGCTCTGAGGGATAGAGAGTAAAAACACGTCAGAGATACAGTTTTACAAAATAACTGGTTTGAGATCGTTAAGTACATCTTAGCAGCATTGAATTTACATTTTTAAAGCCTTGACATTGTTACCTAAAAGTAAATACTGGTACACTTTATTTTATTATGTAAAAGGAGAAAGGCTCAGCAGTTGAATCCGTTGCATGTCTGTGTAACAAGGTCGAATGTCATCGACAAGAGCAGATGGCTTAACGGATGCAGTCCTCCTCTTGGCCTCGCCATCAAAGAATTACATGAGGCCATTGATGTGGCCCTTCAAATTGTTCTTTTAAATGTGTCCTTTTGAATCTTAATTAGAACATTTGCTCAGTTATTTGATGTTCAAATAATGTCTTTTAAATGATCTTTAGGAATAATATCATGATTAACAATGGTGTGATTATGAAGCTGACCTCAGACAGACATATTTTGATGAGGAATATGCAGGACCAAAGAAACCTTGATTCAATTATGGAGAAAAATGACTTTCAGATCCTTGAGATCTCAAAATAGTGCCTCGCTGTTATTGAAGAATTGAAATTCAATCGAATTATGCAAAGCTTATTTTTCTGTTGTGTTTTTATCCCATGAGTATAAATTAAATACTGGATACTAGGTCGACAGGGATTGTGGGTTAACAGAAGCAGCACTGTGAACATAAGATCCGTCTAAAAGGTAATTTCAGGACAAATTGAATTTATATGGATACAATTACAAGAGTGCATCCATTTCTAAATAAATTACAAATAAAATAAGGAATACTGTTACCAGCTTGTAAACAGAAAAGGTCTGGGGAAATCATGTTGCATTACATGGAGCTTTCTGTAGCTGAAGCAGCACATATTCAATTGGGAAATGAAATCTGATTCATCATTGCCACAAATATTCACAGGGCGAGTAAATGAAAACATTTCTTACTTGAGTTTCTGGAACTCGGCATAAGCTTTCTCATAAGCTGAAAGAAACAAAAGAAAACTTACAAAACGTACGTACATTTACATATTCCCCTCAATGAAAATGATTTATTTGTTTGGGTTATTCTGCGGTGGACAACATTTGTTATGACAAGTTTAGAAATCCTCAGTGAAGGCAAAACACGAGCTGACAAGTGTCCTGAGAAGCAAAACAAATGCTCTGTACAGCTGAGCAGAGGTGTTCCGGAGAGTGACAGTCTCTCTCTTGTGGCTTTAAAATGGATTTGGCTGCAAAAACAACCCCATTTCGGCTCCACTATATACCACTCCTAATCTTCGAGGCAAGCCCATAAAAGGCATGAATATTCTTACATTCATCGGCTTTCCTTAAGGATGCAGAACGTGGAATAAGTTCATATTCTAGTGTTTTATAGACAGGGGCCAATGCCACTCTCCCAGATCATTGTTTGATAGTGATGAGACAAACCCACCTTTTAACTCTTGTGTCTGAAAGTCCTTTCAAGTGGCCAACATCATGCATATGTGTTGTTAACATTGCCGCTGTTATGATAAAATAATTAGACCATAGTTGTTATATACTGACAAATATTGTGACCGTTTTTGTTTCATGTGGATTGGATCAGTTACCCGGCAATATTTTTCAGATCTCTCTCCTACAATTTTAAACTATAGGTTCTTTGGCATGTTGTGATGTCACATGAACACATCCTATTGAGGGCAACATTGCACTAACTAGAGGTTCGGGATAACTGTTTATTCAAGTCTGTTTATACAAATTTAAATTTAAATTTCCCGATTTTGTTAAACTTGTTCACATTCACATTTTCACCAATTTAAACTGAATTAGTATACACACATAACCAACAATCAAATATCTCTCTATTTTACTTCAGTACAGTACTTTCATTGTTTTTCCTGGTACTAGCACTTCACATGAACTGGTACTACTATATTTCTGAACACTTTTTACTTTGACTTCTTACTTTTAAACTCAAATATCTCTACGTTCAACCTTTTAAAATGACTCGCTACTTGGAAGATGGGAGACATGGCATTAAACAGGTTTGTAAATAGCTAGCCTCATTCATTGTGGTTAGCCGTGCTTCTAAATTCAGATGAACATTCGGCTTCAGTTCTACATGTTTTGTTCGTTGTCAAGTTCTCTGCCAGTTTGAAACGACGCTATAATGTTGTTTCAATGTTGCAAAGTCAAAGCTTGTACTTGTATACTTTCACTCATATGGGAATAATTTGCATGCTTTTATTTTGCATACTATAATCTATACTGGTCTCCATACTGTTATTAAGACTAGCCCTTTTCCTTTAATGTCTACTGACCTTCACCGCTCAAGTCCAGGCTTCTCTTGTGGGAAGTTTCAGGGTCCACAATCACAATAGAGTACATTCCCTTGTCCTTGTCAAATGGCTCAATCACCTAATAACAAAATTAATAACAAATTAGCTTGTAGAAAGAAGCTGTGTAAATGCATTTCTTCATGAATTAGTCAGCAGCGGGCCTTAAGACCATTGAGAAACAAACCAAATGGATGGCAGATCACTGAAGTAATGCTATCTCGTCTTTGTGATAGTTGCGGACGATAACACAACATCTTTGGAAGAATAAATAAAGCTTAAAAAGAGCTTGTTTTCATCCTTTATCAACCTAATTAACCTATCACTTATCCAAGCTTTTGTTTAGTAGAAAATACAATTCTCTTTGAAGGCAGTTTTATCAGTTTAATTAATTTGATTAAAGTCTAGGCATCACCTTGATTAAAGTCCTCCATAAAAAAGCTCTGCCTGAGGTCTTTTATTGTCTTTTTCGGCTTAATAACGTTCTGGGTATGATCTGTTAGACAAAAAAACAAAAAAAAACTAGTACCTCCATTGTTGCCATAGCAGGGGTTCCTCCAATCACACACTTGTCATTGTGGGTGAGTTTCGTCTCTCTGAAAAAACAAAGGAGAAGTCACTTGTTTTGTGAGTGCGGTGTGTTTGATATGAAAGAGAACGTTTGCTTTCTTCTATTAATGAAGGAATTACTTAATCTGCCGTGGAAAGTAAAAAAGTACTATTCAGTAAAGTGATCTACAAACTGTGTCTGTACAGTGTATGTTTGTCGTAAAAAAAAAAACTACCTGATCCTGTTAAAACCATACATCAGTCATTGACAGTGAGACAGTGAGTGGGCTTCCATCTAATTGCAACCTTCTCTTTTTGAAGCCATTAGAACCAGGGGAGAACAGGGAATTTGACCAGACAGAATGAGCATCTGTGAAACTCCTGCTTTTATTTTGACAGTGTGTACATTTCTAGTGGAAATTTTATGTGGCCCAACGGGCATTACCAAAACATGTGAAAATAGGTCTCTACAGAGCTAATATGGAACAAAACACAATTTGGGTCTGTTTTATATTTAATTATAAAAACGTTGCGAGGAGTCATATAAGTTCAAATTTAAGTCTTCTCTGAAGAAAGTTCAAATGTATCTGTTCGTGGTTGGGGTTTATGAAGAACAAAGTACAGTGTTAACTCAGGCTTTTATCGCTCTCTTCTTTTATCTGAGGTTTAAGGCCTTTTTATCTTTTAAACACTTTGGGCGAGTCATGCGCGCTTAAGATGAAAGTGTTTTAAGTCTCATCTTAAGACCTAATTTTATTCTCTTTTAACACTTAGTATGTACTGTATGTATGTATGTATGTATGTATGTATGTATGTATGTATGTATGTACAGTATGTATGCATGTGCATATACACTAATATACTGTATATACATAATAGTGAGAGCATAGCCTTGATTTTTTAGTGGGGGCTTCAAGCAAAGTGGGGTTAAGTGTCTTGCCCAAGGACACAACAAAGGCTCAAAGGCCATTGCTCTACCAACTGAGCCACTGTCGCCCTTAGATGTGGATCTCCTCAAATGAGGAGGCCAAACTCGTCTCCAAGGACAACGGACCAATGTCTCATACCAATGTTTATATGGTTAACAGGACATTTGTTTGAATTAATAAATAAAAGATAAAAAATAGGACAATAAGAAGTCCATGATAATACCTCAGTCAAATCAAAGGGATGTGTTACTGTCTCATCTAAAGATTGCAAACGGACGATGGAACTATGAAACCAAGCAAACAAAGAACTCGGTACAAAGGAGTAGTTACACAATAGCACTTATGTAATACTTTAATTATTTGTTTGCTTTCTACTTTTGCTTAAACTTGTTCCACTGCAAATAATTAAAGAACATGTCCTTATTCTGCCTTTGCTTCTTCCTACAATTTTGTGGTTGACTTTTTTTTCCCTGTCTCTCTGCGTCGCTCCCAATGTGTTTTATAATCTCTTGAGCACAATGGAGGGCTTTAAAGTCCACAAAAATAAGCATCTTTAGAGGAAATGATAGGGATGTGATTCTCGCCCCAAACGAGGCAATTTTACAGCAATAACCAGGATAATGAAAACCTTTTCCAGAGGCCATCTCAAGTTTTATTATGTGGCTTATTGTTTTTCCATTTAAGATGAAAGAAAAGAAAATTTAAATGTCTGTGGTTAGAATCGGAGACGTCTTTTGTATTCAAATGGTTATAGAGTGGCTTGTGCTCGGGCTGCAAGTGAATCAACATTTGAATGGTCTTTATCAAAAACCATTGAAACAAAATATATATATATATATCTTGTCTTTTAACAGAAAAATCTTGTTTATACTTCTTTAAACAAATCCATAAATACAGGTTTAGTGTGAATAAAAATTACTTTTCAAATATGAATCTCAAAAACCAGCATCAAAAGTAGTACATGTAGCTCTTTTCTTAACACCCAAAATTAGTTTATATGGCATTATAATTCACTCCATAAATGGTGGTGCTAAACTACTACAGTAGCTTCGGCTGCCCAGGGGCAGACTTAAAAAAGGGAGGCAACTAATCTGTGCCATCGGCCCCTCCATCCATTATTCATACAAAACCAATGTCTTTTTCTAAGATCAGTCACAACTAAGACAATCACAAAAACATGAAATCAAGATAAGTATAAAATGAATGAAATGGGAAATAATATTGTAAAACAAAGCTTTTAAAACAAGACCAAAGCTTGCTCAGTTAAAAAATCTAATCTAATGTGAAGATGTGCTGTGTAGACAGAAATGCAGTTCATAAAATTCAGGAAATTATTATTTGGTGTTGCATGTTAACACATCTGGCATGTATTTTGTGTGCTCAATAAAAATCTTACTTTAAAAAAAATATTACTACTGTTGATAATGTGCCAACGTAATTTCAGTTTTTCTGAAAAGAGCCCTCGACTACATGTGTGTGAGACCATATTGACTTTACTGCTTACCCGTGGTACCACATGATGTTCATCTCGGAGGTGAAGTACTTCATATGACATTGCAGCTGGATACCTGTTGCCGTGCAGTTAATCACCAGCTCTGCAGCGGTGGCTCCTACAAGAGGCAATTGAGGTCAAACGAGTCGTTCAGGCCACTCTCCACATCCGCCTTATACATATATTCTGCTGCTGGGAAGCAATGAAGTCTTTTATCAGCAAGGAGTAGTAAAGAGGTAAGCAATTCTCCTCACAACCGCCCAAGGTACACATGGAACCGGTTTAATCTATTTGATCCAAAGCCAGTAAATGGAACTAATGATATCTTGTAATCTAAAAATCTCAGCAAATGCATTGCACAGATCGCCTTCAGAGAGGGAGGTCATCGAAACCAATTGCAGTGTGATAGATATGAGAATACATTATACAATTAAGAATATTATAGCAATGTTTAAATCTATCTTACTTACATTGAAATCAAACTTTGTGGATGTTATAAGCTTGTAAGTCGGTACTTCTCAAAGACAATATTACTATTTTTACTGTTTTTCCCAGTGGGGGCGGGTCCCAGCTCTAAAAGGTCCATGAGCACGTGCGCTGACATGCTTGCAATGTCACTCCGGGCCGTTGGGCGTGCACCCAGAAATGAGAGTTACCCAATGCATTTGTATGGCGCCTTCTTTCCTCTACAAAATACGGCTTCACAGTATTTTTATTGGACCAGTCTTGTTTAGCCGCTGTGGACTTAAGAATACACTTGTTAAATGAATGCGGCTCATGCCGGCTAACGCATGCACAAATGCATTTTTTCACATTTTCCTGCCCCATGGCCATTTTGAAAAAGCCCACAGAAGGCAAAAGTGGTAGCACATTAGTTTCAATGTCGGAGATAGGCTTGACTTCGCCGGTTAATAAGAATACTCTATGGTATTTCCCCAGTTATTTGACACAAAATACAAAGAACTAAGAAATAATAAAGAGTAAATTAATATGATAAATGACTCAAATAAACTACTGGAAATAATTTACATTTCATTCATGTTTGGATTGTGGTTATTATTATGATATTTCATTTAAAGATTTTTGCTTCAATAAAAAACCTGAATAATTATAACTGAAAGGACAAAATAATAATATTGTGTTTATTACTTTCTTTTAACCTTTGTGGATGTCTTTTGCCTGAAGGCTTCACTTAAAGGACAGAGATGACATTCAGCAAATACCAGGAATCACCGTTCACTGATCGGATCGGATTATTTTTTTATGGTTAAAACCAGTGCATAAAAATGTCCTTGGGAAACCCCCTTCATGGTTCAAGTAATCAGAGTGGTGCGTGGGCCTCTCGGTCTTCCTGGGACCTCTTCTGTTCAATCTCTACATACTGTCATTCGGTCGATTAATACACAGTAACAACGTGACCTATAACAATTATGTAAAAAACACTCAGATCTATGTCTCACTGACTGCAGGAGAACATGGACCAGTGGACTCGCTCCTTCACTGTATCCAACAGATCAAAACACTTACTTCAGCTAAACGCAGACAAAACTGAAATGATTGTCTTTGATCCCCAGAATCAAAGAGAGAGCGTCATCTGTCACCTCCAGTCCCTCTCCCTAAAACCTTCAAATCAAGTCAGTAATCTAGGCTGAATAATGGACTCAGACTTGAATTTGAATAGACACATTAAATCAGTCACATAAGCAGTTTTTTCCATCATCAAATCCAACATAAATCTAAATTAGATTCTTGTCCATGCATTTGTCTCCAGTTGCAGACTTCTGTAACGGCCTACTCACAGGTCTCTCCAAAAAAGCTGCAGTGTATTCAAAACGCTGCAGAGAACGATAACGTTAGTCCAGTTTGCAGGTCTTTACAAATAATAGACTTTAAAACAGCTCTGGTTGTGTACAAGGCTGTCCATGGCCTCGCACCAATGTCAGTTTGTGACATCTGTGACACATCTATCTGAGAATGTGGGACAGGATTCTACACTAACTATGTTTAAATCCAGGTTCTTTCAACAGTTCTATGTGGTCATTATGTATCCTGTTTTGTCAAGCAAAAAGACATAAAGCCGAGTTGCAACCCCCACTAATATATACTATTTAATATAACAAATATTGAAGCAAAAGATGCTAGATTAATTTCAATGTTGTTTACTAAAGTTATTTTGTGTGCCGGTTTATTTAACATTATATAATATGGGAATTATCCCGTGAACCCACCACGCCTACCTAACTTATTTTTGTTTGTTATTTTTTCATCAAAAACCGAATGACTCTTTTAAAAGAAAAATGTTGTGAACAAATCAGACCACCACATGCTGTCTTCATCTTATTCGACACATAAACAGATATTAACATATCATAATTGTATACGTAGAAAAAGCCGTGTTAGACACTGTTGATCAATGAGATTGGCACTGAAAGTTTTTCACTTTTCAGCCTGGAAAAACTGTGACAGCAGCTGAAAAATACATGAATGTGAAAACTATATTAGAACAAAACTTTTGAGAACTCGTAAATGTCTGATGGATTTTATAACTGGTTTGTGAGTTTTGAGTGGTTTGAAAGGTACACCAGCTTTATTTAATGTACGACCTAATGTTACATACAGACATTTATATAATACAGTAAATCCATGCTATATATAAGTAAAGTATATCACTTGTCCTGTTGCATTACCATGATTCCCTCACATCCCTGTAATAAACCGCACTCTCCTCTGCCTGCCAAGCTGTCAAGTGACAATCTCTTAAAATAGGAGTAAGATGCTCCTCCACACCGTCACTATGACAGCAGCGGCAGTGGAATTTTAACATGATTTCAACACACGACGCTGTGTTGGCCGAATGCCTGCACCTCTGAAGTGAGCAGGCCGCGCAGGAAGGAACTCACAGGACCACGGCGCAGCTTCAAAATCTCACACTGGGTTAAATTTGGATCTTTTGAACCTTGAGCTGTTAATAATGATGGTGTTTGGCACCACTCTCAAAATAATGGTAAAGTTAGTGAGCTAATGATATGACATGTATTGTATCTGTATGTATGTAGGTGTGAGGGGGCGAGACACCTACCCGCCAGCTGGCTGATCTTGTTTATGGCATCCTCAAACACTGGAATAGAATAGCAGAAAGGACATCATGAAAGAGCGCCCTCCAGTGGAATTTTAAAAGACATGAGAACTTTTAATTAAACTTGATATTAGGGATGTGTTTGCATTTGCTCTGCTAACATTGCATTTTTTTAATTTATGCAAATGGCCTGTGATATTTTCTGCCTTAAACAAAAGCGAGTCTTGATCTGTGTTTGCTGGTTAATCTCTCTCTTATGGAGTGATTAAATACTCCTAGTGCGAAGGTTGATCTGAAGAGGATTATAACACATGCAGAGATTATGGAGGGGACATTCACTCTGGGAAATCAAAATGGATTTCCTTCTGAGTAAAAGTAAATACTGTCATGTTGGAGCACTCCCAGTAGAAGTATTGCAAAGTGTGCAGCTTTTGAACCCTTTAAGACAGGGATGTCAAAGTCATTTTGGTCAGTGCAGAATATAGAGAGCTGGTCGGGCGCCAAACGTTTTATGCTGTACTTTATACCGGGTCTCCATTGTTCTTTCTTTTGCTCTTTGTGGAAAAAGACTAATTATCTGGAATAGATGGTCAAATACTTGTCTTCTAAGAAGATAATATAAAACACCCTCAGCTTCTCTGTGGAAAGTTCATCTTTTCCATCTGTGGTTTTCTACATCTGCATTTTAAGTCAGGGAGATACTTCTGTCGGCAAAACAAGTTCAGTTGTCTTTGGAGCGTTCAATGTTTAGGATAGAATCAATAAATTGGTTGTTTCTAGAGAAGATTGGTTTTAAAATGATGTATTACACGTCATGTTGGCCACATGAATGCTCCAAGTTAATATTAAGAATAGAAAATGATATCAAGGGCAACTATAAATATCTACTGTATGCTATTTAAGCTTCTCTGCTTCTCTGACTTCTGCTTACTTCTATCTTACACTTACAACACATACATTTAATCTGTTGATTGTGCAGTGCTGTTGAAACTGTTAATAAAATGTGCTGTATGAATGAAGTGGATTGAATTATACAACCATCATACTTCCACTTTCATCATTATAATGTACATTAGACCATATTCACACGGGGATACAATATTATTCATTCAAACTAACAATATTCAATACATTAATAGATAATATATTGAACAACAGAGAATATATAATAATGAATTCATTTATTAATTAAAACACATTTTTTAAATGTCTCAAATCAATATTTTCTTGTTCAGCATGAATAATAAATGTGTAAGACAGATCAAAGAATTAACATGCGTAGGAAAACACCATTTCACCTTTTCCGGAGACATCGATTTGACTCATGTCTTTCCCTCTGTCGTCGCTGATGGTGGCTTTGTAAATGCCGTTTGTCTTCAGGGAAAACTGAAAGAGGATAATGATACCAGACAGCACCAAATTAAGAATACAATAATAGAACTGAATTCTATCCACAAAACAAATCAATCTTCGGATACTGTGAACATTAGCATTTCTTCAGAGCGGCGAGAGGAGCTTTACCAGTTTGATGGGGAGTTTGCAAACACCTGATCCCAGATCGGGTTTGACATCAGGGATAATCTCTGTGTCTTCTTTGTACCAGTGGAACTCAGATTCCTTCTTCAGATTAGCCACCTGCATGAGCAGCAGAACACCACTCACATCACTGGGAGTAAAGGTAAGATTTGTCAACCAGAACTAAAACCTCTTCAATAAATGATTATCCATTTAGGAGTTTTTGTATTTCATCTGAAAAAACAAAACACACATCCCTGAAATGAGGGAGAGAGGCTTCATTTCAACCACCACAGTTTATCTTGTACTGTGCAAAAGGTTCCTTTGAATAGAGGTTCATTTTCTTAGACTTTTGTTTGGATATTTTGATTGATTGATTTTATTATTATTTTCATTCGAGCAGAAATATTACATTCATCCGTATTTACAATATTTACATTCCTTAGTTTACCTTTTGAACATGTTGCCCTCTGTGTTCTATATATTTACACATGCAAATATCTAAACATAAATATCTAAACAACAAGCAACAATATTTGCCCTATTTTCACCATGTGTGGTATATTTACAAAATCAATATACGGTATGTATTTACAAACTTCTATTTACAATTTGTCAGCTCAAAATGGAGTGGGAAAGTAGTAAAAACCAAAATATTTAGACTTTTCAACAACACTTATGGACATCATCTCCCGCTTATGGACCAATACCAATACTTTTTGTGTTTTATTTCTTGTGTTTGAACAGTTTGATTCTCTGATCGTTTGTGTGAAGTCCTCCGAGATAACTACTGTTGTGATTTAGGGCTGAACGAGAATAACTTTGAATTGAATTGAACTTTGATAACAACAAATCGTCAATAAATAATGTGTAGCCGTGCTTTGTGTACCTTGCAGACCAGAGTTACGGTGCAGTCGTCTCCAACCTGCAGCGTCAGAAACTCGCTGAAGTGAGGTCCTGGGGGGAATACAACAGAAGCACGATGAGCCAAAACCCCATTATCCACCTACTTTAATGGCATTATCTTTACTCTCTCTGCATCATAATCCCTTTACATCTACATGTTTATGCTTTGACTCCTGACTGATATCTCCTTCTTCAACATTAGCTGCACCAGTTGTCTCCCAGGAAATACTCATGCTGTCAACGCGCCTCATGTGTTGGAAATTAAAGATCATATAAATTAAAAGCAACGATGTACTGCTTACCCTCCTTTACTCTGATGTACTCTCTTCTTTGGTAGTCCGCCTCAGCCAACGCCGCCTTGAAAGCTGCGCACACATAAAAATGCACATAAACACTGAATAATTATCAGATCAAAGTGCTGTCAGTGCTCCCTATATATTCTTTTAGTGAATTATCAAGCTTATTAATTAATAGGATGAGCAGATAATCATAATTTATAAATGCACCCATCTATATTTGGATGACAACTTGCCTTTCAGTTGCATACATTTCCATATGTTTAAAAAACCTTTCTGTAAAATAATAAACCACAGGGCCATTCAACTAAATGTACTCGAGGGGTCGCTTAGTCGAAAATGTGTACACTCCCCATTGGTGCCAAAAAAGTATGCTCTTGTTAGAATTAGATTATAACAACAAATATGACAATTATGCTATAAAATGTCAATATTGCTCTGGCTCATTACCAAACCGGTAGACTGAACCAGGAAAATGAAATAGGATTCCAGAAACCAATACATCATGTTTTGTTCACATTTTCAATTTTCAAACTAGATACATATTTATTTACCCAAAGCACCCAACACAGACACGGGGAGAACATGCAAACTTTACTCAAAAAGGCGAATCCAGGGCCTACTTGCACGTGAGTATTGAGACCACAACACAACCTTAGAGCAGCTTTTTCACACAGAACATGTATTTGTGTTTGTCCCTGCACACCTCGGATAAAGTCATTGTAATCTATATGGTTTCCAAAAAAGATGGTAAAAGATGTTATTTATAAAATAGTTTGGGAAAGACAATTACTTCACTGTGGTCAAAAAGTGCCACTTTTTGATATTACATAATTAAATCCTGCACAGACTATATTTTTAACCTTTACATGTTGCACACCTCTGTCTTTTTGTACAATATAAGTGATTCTCTCTATGCCAAATGACATGGAAATTTCTCCATTGTGAGATCAATAAAGTTATCTTATGTTATCTTAAGATGGAGGACGTTTCAAATCTCCCTGTGGACTTTGACCGGAACCCAAACCATCAATAGATCCACCCATCATTTGCCACAAGAACATGTTTGTTGTATCAAAATAAAAATGCATGCAATTATAAACCTGTGATTAACGGCAAGCAAGGTTAATAAATGTTTTATTAAATGACTCTCGTCTGTGTCTTTACCAATGCTTTTGAGATATTTGTGACGTATGTTCATGTCCGACTTGATTTTGTGTGATACGGGCTGAGGACCGATTGTCATGGTAACGGTCCGTGGAAAGATATCAAATGTGATACGCGCTGTTCGAACCAATTGTCATGGTAACGGTCCGAGATGGGAAAATATCAGACCGCAAATCAACCAATCAGAGCGCGCGTACGATCCAAGTCATATAATAATATGGATTATTTCACTATAACCAAGCAACCTGGACAAGTCGCTCATTCGAAATAGAACTTTACAATATCTCCTTCCTTCATGTCACTGCCAAAAGTTCAGCAGCTGCAGTACATTCAAAATGCAGCAGCTCGAGTCCTGACTAGAACCAGGAAGTATGATCACATTAGTCCAGTTCTCAGGTCCCTGCACTGGCTTCCTGTGGCTCAGAGAATAGACTTTAAAACAGCTCTGCTTGTGTACAAGTCTCTCCATGGCCTCGCACCAAAATATATTAGTGACATGTTAGTCCCATATGAACCAGCCCAGACTCTGAGGAGCACAGGGACTGGACTCCTGTTAGTGCCCAGAGTCAGAACTAAACATGGGGAGGCTGCTTTTCAGATTCATGCTGCTAAAATCTGGAACAGTCTTCCTGAAGATGTGAGACAGGCCTCCTCTCTGACAATGTTTCAAACCAGGTTAAAGACAGTTCTGTTTAGCTGTGCATACAACTGAGGGATTTTATATTTTTATCTTTTTTTTTATGTACTGTGATTATTTATGATTTTAATGCTATTTTAATTTTAATCTTATTTTGTTCAGCACTTTGAGTTGCCTTGTGAATGAATTGTGCTATACAAATAAAATTGCCTTGCCTTGCCTATAGTTTGGTGTATATTTGCAACAGTCATGGGAAGGGTGCATTGTGTCCTTACATACCATCCCCAATCAGCACCAGGGAGCTCTGTGCTTTTCCGCCGCCGTCTGTGATCTGACAGGTGAATGTGCCTTCATTCTCCTCAGTGAAATGGTCCATGATGAACTCGATGACACCAGTGGCGGCATCATGACCCATCTTGTTCGGCTGGAGACAGGAGAATAATGCAGATTGAAACTCAAATCTCTTTTACTGTAAAACCTGCACTCATGTATAAGTGGTATTTCGAGAGCGATGCACTGATAGGCTAAGGTTAAAAACGACATCTCTAATGTATCTCAGAACTCTATAGATTTCCATTATCTTCAAGTATTGAGACTTACACTGGCTCCAGACAGTTCCTTGTTATTAGCAAAGAATTTGTAGGTGACTTGAGGTGAAATCTCCTCAGCTTGCAGCCAAAACCTCATTCGGCCTCTCTCCAGAATCTTGTAGTCCAGCTCAGTCTTCAGCGGGATGACTAAAGAAAAGCAGAAGGAGGTGACCAGATAATTACAACTGTTGACTGATTATTTATTAAAGCAATTAGAGATGAGAAGAGAAGCATGACGTGGAGGAAAAGAACAGAGGGACCGAATAGTAGCCAGGCAGGTGATGCAAAAGTAGGTAAGACTTTTTGTGGATCAAATGAAATGAAAATATTGAAAGGTTCAAAGGAGAACGAGAACAAAGGATAGCGATGGCATAGGAAAACAGAAATGTGGAAATAAAAGGAGTGAGGAGGATGAGCGCATTAAAGCAGTGATGCAAAGAAAGTATAGTACAAGAAAGGAGATTAGGGCATACATAGACAGATACTTTAAGAGATTGCACCTACTTGGGTGTCTGATATCGTAACTCAGTGCCAGCATCTTGGCCAGCTCTGAAAGAAACGGAAACAGCAGTTCATTTCATTCAGCCAAGAGCAAAAAATCAAGCTATTAAAATGGAGCTTACTCTTTTTATGCAGACTTTAACACTGATTTAAGAGGGGAAGCTGATATATTAAGGCCATTTGTACGGGAGAAGTTAGCACAGGAATTCAAAATGTGGCAAACAGAGAAATAAAAGACCAAAGCAAACTACCACAGGGGAGAAGACTATGTTTCTACTCTCCAAAATGATAGTTATGCAAGGACAAAGCAGCTAAAAAATGCAGTGTGTCACTTTGGGAGACTTCACTTCACTGGAGACTTTTATAAATGAAGACACAAAGACGGGCAGTTTGTGAGTGAGTCTAAATTAAAGTGTAAAACTCTAGGCTAAATGAAAACACTTTACATCTTTCAAGGTCACATCATGTAGCCTAGTGGCCAATGCTGTAACAAGAAGAAGAGCATTGCGCCACCAAAGTCTTCTCAGTAATGCACAAAACACTTGCAGCCATAATGTGTTTCATCTGATGTGGACTGTGGCTGCTATTACGTTGAATTTTTAAATAGATGAAAACACAATTTGCACAGGCTATGACTGTTGTGCATTGTTACCTTCAGCAGAAACAGAATAGCTGGAAGAAACTCCCTCAGTGTTGGTGACACTGACAGAGTATGTGCCAGCGTCCTCTTTGTCTGCGTTGGTAAAGACCAGTTTCGATCTGTGGACAGACAAAATGACAGTGAGACGGACACAACAGTGACAGAATATCCATAATGTGCATATTTTGGAAGATGCTCACTGGTTGCCCTCAGTCCTTATTACAAGTCCTTTGGAGAAGTCCGTAATCTCTTTATAATCCTTCTTCCAGGTAAACTGGGAGCCATCCTTCATTTGGCAGGACTCAAAAGACAAAACAATGTCTCCAGTTTTCTCATCCACTGCACAGGACACCTCCTGGCAACCTGGCACAACACAGAAAGCATTGTACTATTGGACCACAATAATATATAAAATAAATGTTTGCAAAGCGCACCTTCCACAGCCTTGGCAGTCACAGGGTCGGAGGGCATTGAAGCCATTCCCTTTCCAGCAGCATTCACAGCTCGGATTCTGAACATATATTTGGCACCAGCCTCCAAGCCTGTTACCTTTCAGTATAATGTGGGATGTAAATAATAATGTGTCTTACATTTAACAATGTCCTTAAAATGACAAATGAAATATTTAAACACTGCTTGTCAGGTGACAAATTGTCAGTCCTGCTAAATATGAATTATTTACATAATCCACTAGATGTCAGTGTTACACCAGTGTGCGCACTGTCTCTAGCTAATCACTTTGACATTTTTAGACAGAAAAAGAAGAAAAAAGCTTCAAGATGTTACTTTTGGGATGTGGAAATTAATTGTGAAGGATCCATCCAAATGAAATATTAAAACCATTCACCATGGAGATGGACAAATTGTACGCAATACTGTGAACTACACACAGAAACATTTCTGAGGAAAGTACAAGTATTGGTCACGTTCGCAGAGAAGGACACATACTTTTTCAGTGAAATGTCACTCACAAATTACGCTTTAAAACGGGTCTATAATTCATCAATATGTTAGGTACTGTGGCCAAAACAAGATTCTCAATTAATATGGTGTGGTATTATAGTAAAATGAAAATATAAACTCAATAGAAATATAATCTGACCTTGTAGAAGCGGTGAGTGACAGCTGTCTCATTTGCTGTGGTCCAGTTAGAAGAGCCGATCTTGGCAAACTCAACATGATAGCCAGTGATTGGTCCAGAACCAGTATACAAAGGTTTCTTCCACTCAACCACAACAGAATTATCTCGGACTTCACAGAAAGTTAGATCATATGCAGGACCTGGCACACACAAAGAATTTGACTTGATTGAGATACATTTTGATTACCTTTAAAGAAGGTCATAGAAATGATTCTTACTGACCAGGTTCGGGCATTGTCCAAGCATCGCAGGAGAAATCGGCTGAATGTTTTGATGCTGGTCCGAGTCCCGCAAGACTGGCAGCATACACCTGGAACTGATAGACGGCTCCTGTGGTCAAGCCCTCCACCTGAAGTTAACACCATATTATTTTAACAACTTTCTTTGGACCAAAATGTGTTGCAAAATATGGTATGTGGTATCAAAACGTTACCGTGTAAACTCTTTCTGTTACAGGAGGGATATGAACCTCCCTCCAGACACTTTCTCCACTGCGTCTCTTATCCACATAATAATCCTTTACTTTTGATCCTCCAGAGTGAAGGGGCTTCTTCCAATTCAGGACCATTGAGGTGCCATCACAATTCAACAGAGCAATGTCATAGGGAGCAGAGGGATGGGCTAAAACACACAATAAAGAAATCTTTATGTCTTTTTTGGTAATAACAATATTCCATTACTGCTGATTTTCTAACAAAGCAATACACAGTAAACATCAATAAACACAAGGACTGACTCAGGGCGGCCTTGACCATAAGCGGAGAAGACTCCTGGGACTCATCGCTCAGACCCAGCTCATTGATGGCTTGGACACGGAAAACATAGGTCTCTCCAGTCGTCAGTCCACTCACCACAAATCTGAACGCAAAGAACAATTGAATACAATTTATGTACAACTCACAAAACAGACCATTTGGAAACCAACTTAGAGCTCCTGTGTGGTTTGTGGTTGGCGGAGGTCCAGTCTTTAGAGCCTTTTACACACTGGTCAATGTAGTAGCCAATCAGGTTGTTGGGTTCCTTAGGAGGGGCCCACTGGATAAGCAAAGAAGTGTCGGTCTCTCTAGTCGCGACCACCTGCCCAGGAGCAGATGGCACACCTAAACACAATGACATTATTTTTCACTCAGGATTAGATTTTCAAGTGAAATTAATCCAAAAATAAATACCTTTGAGTTCCTGAGTCTCCACAGGTTTGGATGGCTCTGATGGCTCACTAGTGCCATACATATTGGCAGCCAAAACTCTGAATTGATATTCTTTTCCCTCTGAAAGGTCGAAGACTGCATACCGTGGAGAGCGAATGGGCACCTGAGTGTTTACACGTTGCCAAGCACCACTGCCTACCATGGACTGGAATAGACATGAAAAGATTGGTAATATGAACAGAAGAAAACAAAAAATCCTGGCTTAAATTGCTTATTTCTATAGTACGTGGAAAATGTAATGTAATGCATTAATCAGGAAAGTAGCCGAGCGAGGAGAATCAAAACATAGGGTCAACAGATAACCGGACGAAACAACAGTGATACAACTCAACTAGTTAGTTAATTAGTCAAAGGCATAACAGCACTTACTCTTTGTATATTTGTCTGTTTGAGGGATTTTACCTTCTCTATGTGGTACCACATGGGAGCTTTGCCAAAGTATGGAGGGGCCTTCCAGCTCAGGACGACATAGGTCCTGTCAGTTTCAGAGGCATAGATCCCTGTTGGCGTGCCTGGTGGAGAACCCTCCGCTAGAAAACACAAATTGTTTGACAAACTCTTCCTACTCAGTAGTAAAGTACATTTTGGTTGCAATGTGAAATCTTACCTTCATGGTCATCATGGCAAGACACGACTTGCAGATTTCCACCCAGTTTTTTAGCTAGTAAAGATAAAAACACAGATTTAGTACCAAAATAAAGATATGATTTTTATTTTTTTGTGATCACGATGTTACATTGTCAGTTAAATTAACTTGCCTGTATAAGCCTTGAAAAGTGCTTTGATATGTTAAACAAGAAGCAGGAATCAAAATTACACTAACAGAGAAGCTCATGATTATTAAAGCAGTCTTTTTGTAATTGCTTACTTGCCTAATTACTTGTGTGGTATAATTTAAATCAATACCACTGTGAGGTAATAGAGCAGACATAAAAACATTGGCAAAAGTGAGTCTCACTGTGAAGCCTTTCGAATTCGGTGGGGTCCAGGGCGGCGATGGGCTCGGACATGCGTGATGCTTTGCTGATGCCGTGGGAGTTCACTGCACGTACTCGGAAGTAATAAGAGTGTCCCTCAAACAACCCCGACACTGGGTATTTACAAATCTTGATGGGGTGATCATTACACTGCGTCCAGTTTTCTGTTCCAACTTCACATCTGAGATACACAAAGGAATAGCAGCATGAAATAAATAGACAAAACACAATCAGTATTTACAAAAAGGACACTCAGGCCTACTTGACATTATAACTACCTCCATAAAGGTTAGTTATCACTACAGAAAATAACAATAATATATTTAAAATTGTCCCTCCCTTTGGCAAAACTACGCCCAGTAAGATTTGCTGGAGAATACTTAAACCAATGTGGAGCCTCAAGGATTTGAATTAATTTTGCCCAATAGGGAGGGAGAGTATGGCCGGGTCTAACCAGTGCTTGTCTTAAAAAACGTTCAATATTCACAATTTGAAAAGTGACTGACAGAAAGTAAAACGTGTAGCGTAAGAAAGTTGCTTGTCACAAAGTTGCTCCAGACAATGTAGTTAAAGGTACTACTGGTACAATCCTGCAAAGGCTACCAACTATGTGCCCCTCAGTCACATGCTTAGACACATGCTTAATCATGCAGAAATGGCCAAAAGTAGTATTTTTATTACAGTAATGGATTAACCCATGTACATGTATAGTGTTTGTATTTTCATTTACATGGCTTGTCAGGAATGGAAATCAGATTATTTACTTATCAACAAAGTATCCTATGATTGGACCCTCGGTTGTGGTGTTTGGTGGTTTCCAAGACACAATCACATAGTCTCTGTTTGCATCATGAATCTTGATGTCCATAGGAGCTCCAGGGGCATTGGGCACAGGTGGAGGCCCATCTACAATACATAATTAGTTTATATCATATCGAACAGGTGTTAAAGAAGCTAGTGAATGCATTATTTTACCTGATACAGAGACAAAAGCACTATGTTCTGCACATCCTCCTCTTGTCACCATACGCAGGGTGTAGAGGCCCTCGTCATCTTTATACAGGTCAGGGAGGGTTAAAGTGGTCACTCCTCTGCCAGTCTCAATCTTCACCCATTTAGAATCAGTCAGGCGAACGTCTGGGAAATACAGGAAAAACAATCTTCATTTTATGGAACCGTTTTGTGGGGGCATTTGATTAAAAATAACTACTACTGTCTTTAGAGCTAATTTCACCAGCCAAACTGCCAGATTAAATGAACAATGTACTGTTAATGGTCTATAAAATAAATGCCATTACAAATTCCATTATCATCTGTTCGTGCCTAAGGTTAAATACCTCCTGAATTGGAACCGGAACATAAAATTCATACAGACAATGCACAGAGTCATTATTTAAGTGTTTATGATTCTATTATCCAAAAGTTACCATCTCTGTACCACTGAGCCTCAGGTTGCAGGTTGGCAAGGTTGGGACTGAGCGTCATTGTGGCCGTCAGAGAAGCAGACTCCCCTTCAGTAGCAAAAATTGGACCAAATGCCTTCAGAAATGTAATATTGATCTTAGTGAAGGTGATCTTTGGAAGCATGGAAGCTAAACAGAATGTGAAACAAACCATTAGAAAGTAAAACGCAGAACTTTGAAAAAAAATGTTTTATCTTATTTTAAATATCATACCAGTGAAGGGTATCCATCCATAAGGGCAGCTCTCCTCCTCTTGTTTGTACCCTGCATTATTATAAACAGATATTTAAAACTTAGACATGCAATAAATTACTAGGCGAAGGGGACAGAAATAACTATGAAGATTTTACACATTTGTTAAAAACAAAAAATGTGTAAATTAAATGTATTTCTATAGTGTCTTTCACAGACCAGGGTCACAAAGCGCTTCCCATAAAAACAATATACATAGAAGTCACATTACAATGAACCGAGATGTACAAAAATAGAAAAGGGCATGCATCAGCAAACATAGTACACATATGTAAGGTGAGGCAAGGAAACAAGTGCGTCTGAGGTTGAAAATACAAATGTGACTTACTTTTGACGACGACTGTTGCCTGTGTGGAGGCCTGTCCATGGAGATTGCCGGCCACCGCAGTGAACTGGGCTGTGTCCTCAGTTGAACATCTAAGAAACACCGCAGGACACAACATATAGCATCAATATATAGTCTACATAATATTGATTACTTTGATTAAACATAATGTCATGCAATGTTTGTTACTTGAGTACATGTACAAAACCAATATGTACAAAAGGAACAATATAATATGAAAACAGAGTAAAATTGTACAGAATATTCCGCACATTTTGGAATAAAATGAAAAGCAATCCGAACCCTTAATATTTAAAATGTATGGAATGCAGAAAGTGGAGTTACAAGATGTACATTATCCACTCTATATTTGTGTTTCAGGGCTGTCTATTTTATTTGTTCTGTATATTGTGCTGCACTGTAGGGAAAAGCTCAACTAGGGACAGGATATCTAGCATTAGCTACACACTCTGTGTTGCATCAGTTGCATCTTTAATACATACATATGTACATACATACATAATGCTGTAACTATGTATGGCAACATTGTCCCTGTCAAATAAATAAATGAATAAATAATATACCCTCTATATACCTAAAACTGTACTCAGACTGTACGTAGACAACTGCGTTGTCTAAGTACAGTCTGAGTGCTTTTTTACCTTCCAGGCACAACCATTAGCAAGGGAAAAAATAACTGGTGCAATCCTCAGTCGAGAAACAAAAATCGATTTGAAAAAGCTAAACAATTGGTTGGGAAGTACACAGAATTACTGTTGGTATTATTGCATCAGAGTTTTCTGTATGAGCGGGGATTGCCAACAGGAAAGTCCTGATGTAATAATGTGAGACTATGAAGAGATATGTATTACTGGTATGACAGCTATGTTCAGAGCAAACTTTAATTTAGGTCTAGAATCTACGCTATAAATACATGTATGTATATATGTATAAATGGCAGCTCCAATATAAGTACCTCGGGTGTAGACTTTTACAAAATATTTCTAAATTGAGTAATAGTTTAAAGTCAATGTTATCCATATATTATTAATGTTCTATTATGTCTGGAAATAAATTGTTCTAGCACATTTTCTTTCTGTTTGAGATTGTGAGGATATCATTTATATGCAGCTTCTTCCTCTGCGATGAGTCAAACACTGTGCCCTTCATTTTATCACACGATTCTAAACTCCTCATGCTGTCTGTTAGAAGAGAGCAACATTGGATTACATGTATTCAGAAAGGAAAATGGCCTGTTTATATAACATCTTTGTTCAAATGGAAAGCCAACTTTTTCTTTAACAATTTAGTGATAACACGGTTTTTGAATGTTTTGGATCTCAAAGATAAATAGGAAAATCTGGTGCCATTATTGCATTTAGAATAATTAGTATTGGAATTGCATAAGCATCTTTTGACGTCTTTTAACTGTTTATTATTGTGCTATGAGTGCATGTTATTGTTGTTGTTGTGTTGAACAGGGCACTCGTGATAAAGAGTTCCCCTCTGTGTCTAAAAAAACATAAATAATGAAAAAGAATCAAACAAAAAGCCCCCAAAGAAACAGAAGTGCAAATATTTTCAAAGTGAGTGGTCGTGGTGACTTCAGGAGCAGTATCGCATAGCACTGGGGTCAGATCTCCAACAGCTGAGGCTCCTGTCACTGGACCGCATTCTTTCTACAGACACACTGTCCGCTGACTCGTAACCACTCACGGCCAATACCACTTTGAGCCATCTACAACTACAGTGATCCTGATAACAGTTCATTTACATTTTATTTTTGTGTAACCCTAATTCACAACACCAGTCGCCTCAGAAAATTATCAAATTATTAGCAGATTAGAGACTCAAACAATTAGTATTGGAATGCAATATGGTTATGGTGTTTAAGGTCTTTTTTTCCAAAAAGGTTAAATCCCACAATATTGAGAGGTCTTTTTATTTTATTTATTATACTTGAGACAGTGTTTTTTCCGCAGTATACGTAAAGTTCCCGTTTCCTCTGCAGATACCATTTAGTATGTGTTAGTATAGTATTTAAAGGTAGGGAGGTGGAAACAAGGCCAAAACTGCCAGTCAAAGCCTTATTATGTGAAATCTCAGAAGCTAAGCCGGACAGACGCTAGTTAGCACTGTGATGAGAGACCTCTGGGATAACAAGTTCCACACTCGAGTGGCAGAGACTTAAAAAGTGGTGTGTCCGGGTGTGTAAAATAAGTGTGTATTGCATTTTTTCTTATTTATCCATCATTCCCTCCACTCCAACTCGCAATGGTACATCTAGCTATAATGTCCAGTGTTGGGGAGTAAAGGAATACGTGTAATCCCATTACATATTGGAATACTTTTTCTGAGTACTACTACTTTAAAGCATAGCATTTGGAATAACGTTACTTTCTGAAAATCACAGGAATGCATACTTTCTCACATTACGTTTTAAGGTTTAAAAAACATTGGGTATTCTTAAAGGGAAGATTCTATTTTTTCAGGTTGTTAAAGATTTTGAGGTACTTCGACTTGATTTATAATAATAAACAAAAAAATATTAAATAATTACAGTTAGGTTTTATTTATCTAAATATTACTGAGGTAACTTATAAAGGTACATTTTGAAATTTGTCTTTATAAGTTTTGTAAAGAAAACATTAATTTAAAATAAAATGATAATAATAATAATAAAAGTATTTGGAATACATGTACTTTTTCCAAAGTAACAGAATACGTTTTATGTCATGTATTCAGTGTTCTGGAAAGGAATACATTTTCATAGTATTCCACCCAACACTGATAATGTTTGTGTGATTTTAAACACACCTTGGGATTTCCAATGAATGCACTCCACCTTTGGACTTGACCAAGTAATTCCCAGAGGACATGTCCAGAGTGACTCCATCTCTGTACCTAAAATAACAAAATTAAAGCATACATCAACAACACAGTAATTACATGTTAAAGGCAGGAAATTATCAAATTATCAAATTATCAACGGACCATTTTACAATTGGAGTGGGGTAGCCCTCAACAGTGCAGAAGATTTTAATGGGGGTGTTTTCGAACACTGTGTGGGATCTGAGGCGAACCAGGAAGTGTGGACCTCTGATCATGGGCTCCTCACGCACATACTTGTCCAACATCTTCGACCTCACCTGTAAGGGTAAAACAAAAACATTTAAGCAATTGTAATTAAAATGGTTGGAGTAAAAGGAAGAGCTCTAATGTGAAGTGAAGTTTACCACTTCTTGGATGCAAGCTTGCGTTTTGTACTCATATCTGTCCTCCATCGTCTTAGAGCTAAACATAGGTGACACACAGACGTTAGACAAAACGTGTCATAAACACAAAACAACACAGAAGGAACAAGGGTGATACAAAAAAGATGAGTGAACTGCAACGCTCACAGTCAAGGCTTCAAAATGTCCTTGAAATCATCCTGTGAGTCGCACTAACTGCTCCCAACTCCACAAACACAGAGGATTTATGAATAGGCTCACACAATGGTTCTTTTCGGCAGCGCTCAAACAGATGCTTTGTGGCTTATGAATTCTGTCAGAAACCTTTAGAGAAAATTATACTTTAGCCTTTTCAAAAGAAAGGTTGAAGTCGCAGAAGTTTTTGTTGTAGTTAAATTAATGCAAGATACAGCATGAATACAAAAGAGTTTCCATGGTCTTCTTCTTGTGTCAAAAAGACATTTTAGTTTTTGATCAAAAATAATGTTGTTGATTTCAAAATGTAACAATTTTGAATTACGCCCTGAAGAACACCCTCACTGTGTGTTCTCACTTTGTTTTCCTGTCTCCTTAAATTCAAGTTATCAGTCAAACAAAAGTCTGAACTCCACTGTGACGACATGAAGCCTGTTTGAAGCCATCTGGAAGGCCTTGAGTACTAAGCTACAAATATAATCATGCATTTCATTGATTCTGACTTGAAATAGAACGAGTTCAGAGAATCACAGAACAACATTCAGTTACACAAACAGAGATCAGAAAAACTGAAATGAATGAAGAAAGATGTAAATGAGGATGAGTGGCTTCATGGATTAGTTAAACAGACACAAGTTAAGACACTGGAGGGTCCATGTTGTTTTTCTGTTGTTATGTAGGGGAAAGGCAGCAGGTGAGATCAAGGCTTCTATTCTACTGTTTCAATGTTGTTATCTTCTGAATACCCGTCAAATCAGCTGCTCTAGTCACAGCAAGGCTCACTACAGTTACAAAATTAGCTGATGTTTAGTTGAATTAGCCACAGAGGATACCTGCTGTACTCCTTAACCACATATTTGCTCTCTTTGTGGCGATACTCGTGGTCATAATATCCAGGTTTGATCCACACCGACATGGTGAAACACACCTGTTGAACCACAACACATAACACAAGACAAATGACAAATCACACAGACAATGACAAAAACATCAAGATCTAAACCTGAAATCCACCTGTAAAGGATACAAATATAACCAAAATATACAGGAAAAAAGAGCGCCTTTTGAACACAAGAAGAGTAAACATGGGTTCATCCACTCACTCTCCACAAACCCTCATTAACTTTACCTTGTACTATGCACGCACTTTTGTAAGACAGTAACCAATGAGTAACAATGTAATAGACCCTGTGCTCATTTGGGGCTCAGGCCTAATAATCTACTACGAGAACAATGTTTTCCAGTTTTTCAATACCATAAACTGTACATTATCTCACCCATTACAACAACAGGGTGAGGGTCCTTGGTCAGTGACGGGTAGAATTTTATACAAACAGAAAATCACTCACAGGTAGTCTTGTTCACATAAAATTGACTGAATACACAGGATCACAACTTTGCACTTAAACTAATTAAACAATGAAGTACAAATACGTAACAAAAGTGAGATTGTTCAACAACCCTAACCCTGGATCTGCTAAATATGAATTCTGACCGTATCTTAATGCTGCTCGACATGACTGCTGTAGCTCTCACTGTATATACTGGAAACACTTATTGCTTAATATATATATACTGTACTTATTTTTAAGTAAAATCTAAGCTGTAACTATATATATGTAACTTCAGCTAAAGTATACAAGTATTTACTTTGGCTTAGGTTAAAATGATTCTCTATTTTTGATAGCTGTATATAAAATCTCATTGCATTGTTTTGAATGCTGTTGTATTCCTGCTGTTGCTGCTATCCATTGGATGGCTTGGAATTATGTTGATAAAATGGTGAATTCACTAATCCTCAATGGGTATACATAATTATAGAACAGCAATATGAGAAGACTGTCAGACAGTAATCCATGTGATGTTTCGGTTACACCATTATGTTCACACTTCACTGCTGTGTCACACTTAATTCCCTTGTGGCCAAAATACAATGACACAAACAAACGGAAGCATGTTTTGTCTGATGAGTAAGTACTTGTATGTACCCTCATTGTAACATTAACATTATTTTAAGTTCATTGTAATGCTATCTCAGATTTTCAAAGCACTAAAGTAGCAACACCTCTGCAAACACAGTGTACCAGCAAAGATGCCGACTGACACTTGAGTCACACCGTCTGAAACTGTAGACCGCTACAGTTCTCAAACCATAACTATGCAAATCCCCTTAATGCAGCAAACAAAGTAATACATCAAATTGAGAAAGTGATATTCACACAATAACATTCAAGTCATATTTGAAAAGGGCCTTGTAAATCCTTTAAAGATTTGAAAGAAGATATTTTGACCATGACTGGTGAAAAACTGCTGCACTCATGTAAATCAATTTCAAAACAACAATTAGTAAGAGCATTGGTCACTTGACACATGAATTAGCCCCTGTTGAAGGACCATAATAGCCTCTAGCTCCAAATCACTGTAGACAACATAACACCTGCGTGTTTACAAACCGTTTGGATTTAATTACACATATTTCGGACCTATTTTATCAAAACATATTTGATTAAATGATTGCAAAAGTATGTTTTACTCACCCTGTTAGATCCCCTAAGAGCAACTTCGGCTGTCAGCCTGAATCCACAGGGAGTCAGCCTAAGCCCTGGACCAGGCCAACGAAACCACCACCCGGCTCCACCGACCCCCACCTGGTGTTCCTTGAGACCTTATAAGGTGAGGGAGCTGCCTATATATAACCTGTAGTATCCTTCAAGACTCTCTGTCACTGACTGCAGAAGAATAGCAAATAGCACAGATGAGAGATCCACAGACTTTGGTCCTAAATGCTTCATTGGCAGTACATCTACATGTGCACCTGCAGCATCTGTTGCACATCACACAGTGGTCTCTTTACTTAACTGACATATTGCCACTATAAAATCTTCTGAAATCCAATTCTTTCCAACAAAATACGATGGTATAACATGGTTAAGTTAATTTTGAGAGTATGCAGTGAATATTAGTAGATCCTCCAACATTTCGCCTGAGATTTCCCAGGAGATTGTTCCAAACTGTGATGTATGCTGAACTTTGGCCAGAGACTATTTTTAGAAGCAGCTGTAGTTACTTCTATTCCTGATATACTGGAGGAGCATTGGAGGTCTCAAGATGATCTGTAGAGGGAGAGGTTCACATGAAAGCAACATAGCACGATCATAAAGCATAAAGAAAAGGACTGTGCATAACAAAAATGTTGACCAATTTGATTTTAAATGTTAAAATCGCATACATTTGTAAACACACATTTGGGAAGAGTTGACATCCGACACTTACTTTTCCGGTGACAGAGTCGAGCATGAATATATGCCATTCAGGAATCGAGCATGGTCGTTTGTTTTGCTCCTGTGTTGTTGTATGGCGCTCTCTGCTGGTCATTTTTAGAAGTGTTGGTGTTAGAAATTGGTGAAAATAAACCTTACCTAAATAAACCATACCAAACTAAACTTCAAACAACAATATATCATTTAATTAACGCAAGACAGAAATAATTAAACATGCGATAAACCGACGGAGGAACAAAAGAGAGTCTGAGAGTCACGTGATGCAGGGTGCAATGTGATTGGCTAAACGTTCGTAGCCGAGCGGAAGTGTAAGACGTAAACAAAATTGTCATAGATCCTTGACGCAAAACTGTTGACTTCGATGAGCAGTGTCTGTAGGTAAGTATCGGGGCTTTCTATTGCAGCAAACACCACAGGATGCATGCATTATTGCTACTGTGCGAACTTTGTTTCTTGTTCTGGTCATGTGAGTCAGACCCATACAGTGGCTCTGTATTGACCGCGGTGAAGTTAGTTTGAAGTTGGATATCCGACAGACATTCAACGGTCATTCCCTCTCGGTACACCTCTCCTTCTCTCTGGGTTCAGAGCGACTCGAAAGCCGCTCCAACATTTTAGTGCACCCCTACTACACACAGTACGGTAAACACGCCAAGACATGTACGCTGGTCTAATATTTACATATAAAAATTCATTAAAAATACTTAAAACACTTTAATGGTAAAAGAAGAGGTGTACCCCCTGCAGCTAGTGGAGGACTATGATCCTGACCTGATTTGGAGTCAATAGGTCACATGACCTGGAAGCTATTGAGCTAAAATGCTAATATTTGCCTTTAAAAATTCATTAAAAATTCTTAAAAAAAACTTAAATGACAAAAGAAGAGGTGTACCCTTTGCAGCTAGGGGAGGACTATGATCCCGACCTGATTTGGAGTCAATAGATCACATGACCTGGAAGCTATTGAGCTAAAATGCTAATATTAGCCTTTAAAAATTCATTAAAAATACTTAAAAATACTTAAACGACAAAAAAAGAGGTGTACCCCTTGCAGCTAGTGGAGGATTATGATCCTAAACTGATTTGGAGTCAATAGATCACTTGACTTGGAAATATTTACATGTTAAATAAATATTTAGAGATTGAAAATGAAAAAAGTACTTGTACTATATATGCAGCTAGTGGAGTAACTATGATGCAACACTAGTAGGGCTACCATGAGATGACTTTATTTTTTTTCATCATCGAAAATATATGGAACATAAGACCCTGTTCCCCTTGTGTCTCTTACTTTCACTGCGCATAACACACATGCCCTGCCTTTTCCATTGCATTCCTCCAGGTCCTTGCTTTCCAACGATACACAAGAATCATGGAACCCACCTGTCACAGTCATCAACTGTATCTGTTCATGAAAAACAAAAATAAGTAGTAGTTTTTTTCAGCTTGTCATAAAAGAAATCTATTTTTAACAATGGAGCTGAAGGGTCCATCTAATTTTCTCTTTTCTTTTTCAGAGGCATGAGAGTAAAGTCAGATTATTAACAATATACAAGATTAATCAAAATCAAAATATATGAATTAATCTCAAAATATTATGTGTCCGGTTCGGAGACTCACAGCCATGGGTTCTGGTTAGAAGGCCACAAGCCAGGGACCGGAAGGGTCCTGGTTCGGGGACCACAGGATTTCATCTCTACTGTTTGCGGACAATGTTAAGTAAGTAAAATATAGTACGGAATCTTTATTTATATTCCCCTTTCACAGACCCAAGTCAAAACGGTTTACTAACTGTTGTACTGTTGGCTTCAACAAACCAGACGTGCAACATGCACAGGGACGGTTCAACCAGTGTGGAAGCGGCTGGGGAGGAGAAATCATCACATCAAAATCTGAGGCCATGGTGCTGACCGAAAAAGGGGCAATTGCCCCTCCAGGTGGGTGGGGAGGGCCTTCATTTTGGTTTGTTTTTTTAAAGCGTTGAATGACTGGCCCCTCCTTACAATCCTCGGCACCTCATCCAAAATCCACCACCCGCCCCGCGCGCTGAGGTCCCCAGAAGGCCGGCTCCAGCTCGTGGTACCTAAGACCCAGACTTAAGCCCCTGGGGGACACAGTCCTTCTCTGTGGCTGACAAATAAGGCGGGGGCAAAGCGTGGAACGCCTGGGCCCCCCCCACGTCATAACAGCCTCCTCGTTGGAATGTCGGATGAAGGGGAAGAAAATGATGGATGATATGGCAAATTATTATGAGATCCATTTCGAAATATTATGAGTGCCTGGGGCCCATAAGAGACCTGGCTTGCGACCTGGGGAGAGACTTGCGGAGCGCAGGAGAAACTGCAGACAGACAGTCCAGCCCGAGCACCTTGGGGGACTCGTAATTTTTTTACCAATTGCTCAGTATGTTTTATAAAAAAAAAACATATTATTATTCTACATTTACCTGTTTATTGAGGACAGAAAGGACCAGCACAAGGTCCAGTGAGTATCAGGAGGGCCAAGAAGGACTTTGGAAAAAGCGGAGCAGAACGGGCTCGGGACACGCCTGCGACAATGTGGAGGAGGACTAAAGAACACTCGCGCTTTGGGCAGAGTGCCAGTGGACAGCGGATGGAGACCAGCACCGGGCGATGAAATTTAACCAATATTTCAACCAGTTTGATTCTTCCCCCCTCTCCCATCTCCCCCCTCCCTCCCCCCCCTTCAAACGTGCCCAGCCCGGGGGACACTGCCTGCGGCTGCCCCGGGCCGTCCTGACCCCCACAGCCCCCGCCCCCCCAGCCCCACCTCTATTCTGACAGTACCCCCCCCCCCCCCCCCCCCCCCCCACCCCCGCCCCCGCCCTCTCCATCACACCGGACCCGGTGAGGAGTCAGCTCTCCAGAGACTTTCTCAGATTAAATCCACAGGACCGGAAGATCAGTCCCAGCTGCTGAGGACCTGTTGCAGACCAGCTCTCTGAGGTCCTCGCTGAGGTCCTCAGGCCTACATGTACAACGGAGCCTCAGCCTGGATAAGGTCCCTGTCCTTGGGAGACCTCCGGTGTGATCCAGTTCCTAAAACAGCGCACCCCCAAGGAACCCGGCTCACTCAGCACAGACGCTCTCACCGCCCACTGACCTCCCCCCTGATAAGACCAAGGAGCGGCTCCATATTCCTCACACCACCACATCCGCTCTGGGTACAGCCCCACCCTGGACCCGCTGATTCGCCTACAGTCCAACATCGAGTAGAGGACCCCGTCATTTACTTACTGCAGCGGACGACGCTCTCGTCCCCACCGAGCCGTGCAAGGGACGCTGTGAGGGCTATGTTCTTTCGACGTTTCCAGTGCTTTCAACACCATCAGACCGGCGCTGCGCTGGGGAAGTTGGAGGATGCAAGAGTGGACAGTAGCCTCACTGCATGGACCATCAACTACCTCACCGCATGGACCATCGACTACCTCACTGCATGGACCATCAACTACCTCACTGTATGGACCATCGACTACCTCTCAGACCGACCACAGTACGTGCGGCTGCGCAGCTGTGAGTCTGAGGTGGTAGTCTGCAGCACTGGGGCCCCTCAGGGCACTGTCCTCTCACCGTTTCTCTTCACCATCTACACCTCAGACTTCACACACGACACACACAGCTGTCACCTGCAGAGGTTCTCCGACGACTCCGCCATCGTGGGTTGTGTGTCTGAGGGGAACGAACTGGAATATGGGTCGGTTATCAAGGACTTTGTCGACTGGTGTGAGTGCAACCACTTGTGCTTGAACACCAGTAAGACCAAGGAGATGGTACCTGTGCTAACACCAGTAAGACCAAGGAGATGGTACCTGTGCTAACACCAGTAAGACAAGGAGATGGGCATCGACTTCAGGATTAAACCACTTTCCCACACGCTGCTGAACATCCAGGGGGAGGACATTGAGCTGGTGGACAGCTTCATGTACCTGGGTGTTCACATAAACAATAAAACTGGACTGGTCCCATAAACAAACGCCCTGCACAAGAAGGGCCAAAGTCGCCTCTTCCTTCTGAGGAGGCTGAGGTCCTTCTGAGGAGGCTGAGGTCCTTCGGAGTGAGCAGGCCTCTGCTCAGGACCTTTTATGACTCTGTGGTAGCTCTGCCATACACTACGCTGCCGTGTGCTGGGCCCCGGGCAGCACAGAAACGGGACAGCCCCCTGGACTCTGTGGAGGAGGTGAGGGACAGGAGGGTGCTAGTCAAGCTCCTCCAGCAGACTGTTCCAGAGACGGGGCCGTAGTGATGGACGTAAAGCGCTTTGGGTGACCTTAGTCTGTAAAATCGCTATATAAATAAACATTACTTACTCACTTACATATGCCTCAGCTTGAGTGTGTGTCCTGGCTTTGGTAATGGAGGAGTCTGCTGCAAGAACTGGGATGGTTCTTTGGATAAAAGCAGTTATGAGTAATAAGAAGGCCCAAGACCACGAAGACATGAAAAAAACCAGTGAAAGAACCTAAAAATTGATCCTGAAACACACGGGAAGCCAATGCAACAAATTTAAAACCGATGTAATAAAACTGTACTGTATTAAAAGTCAGGATCATATTCCTCCCCTAGCTGTAGGGGGTACACCTCTTCTTTTGTCATTTAAGTTTTTGTAAGTATTTTTAATGATTTTATAAAGGCAAATATTAGCATTTTAGCTCAATAGCTTCCAGGTCATGTGACCTATTGACTCCAAATCAGTTTAGGATCATAGCCCTCCACTAGCTGCAGGGGGTACACCTCTTCTTTTCTCATTTAAGTTTTTGTAAGTATTTTTAATGAATTTTTAAAGGCAAATATTAGCATTTTAGCTCAATAGCTTCCAGGTCGTGTGACCTATTGACTCCAAATCAGGTCAGGATCATAGTCCTCCCTTAGCTGCAGGGGGTACACCTCTTTTTTGTCATTTAAGTATTTGTAAGTATTTTTAATGAATTTTTATATGTAAATATTAGCATTTTAGCTCATCAGCTTCCAGGTCATGTGACCTATTGACTCCAAATCAGGTCAGGATCATAGTCCTCCACTAGCTGCAGGGGGTACACCTCTTATTTTATCATTAAAATGTTGTAAGTATTTTTAATGATTTTTTATATGTAAATATTAGACCAGCGTACATGTCTCCGTGTGTTTACCGTACTGTCTGTAGTACGGGTGCACTTAAATGTTGCGGCGAATGTCTGTCGGATATCCAACTTCAAACTAACTTCACCGCGGTTCTGTACCGAACACATACAGCCCTGGATCCTATCAGCAAAACAGGGAAGACCAGACTACACGTTTCTTTCTCTTAGTTTAATTTGGTCTTTACACACTGTCACTACGTATTGTGCCCAGGCCATGTTATCGATTTTCTGACGTACTTTTGTACATCTACAACTATTGTGGCTTTAGATCCAACATGAGACTACTTCTCCTACACTTTTTTGCGACAGCAGCCACTGCTTCTGCCTTTGTCCTGACTCCTCAGTAAGTGCACTTTTGTTACAGAGTAATTCACGATGTCAACCCACCGGTTTACACTGTTATTGTGATATTTTAGATATACATGGACGAAACTGATCTTGACACACCACTGGCCCACAACCTTCTGTGGGGTGAGTCACGGGACTGTTCTTAATGACTGTGTTTTCTTTTTCAAAGCAATGGAAGAACTTTATGTCATGTGTTCAGTAAACTTAGTTTCAATCAAATAATTTTCTTTCAATAAATTGTCATTGAGTGAGTTAACCAAATTGTTTGTAATTTGTCTCAAGTTTCCCCTTATCTAAAAACATTGGAATCAGTACATATTCATAAGTGAAGATTTTGTTTTATTGTTGCTATATTTCATTCCCAGTCCCATTTACTGCTATGTAAATGTATGTGTGTAAACAAATTTAAGTTGTATCAAATTGTGTAAGAAAATTAGGATGTCATATTCACATGAGCCCATAATGGCAGTAGCTAATGATTATGATGATTATTATCATGATAATCGATTAATCTTGTCTCGAATATGTCAATAATCCCAGAAAAATGTTTTAAAAGAAAAGGTGAGATTTACACAGTTCTCATGTTTTATTATATCTTTAAATCACATCTTGTAGCATTTTCCTCAATCAATTGATAAAAGAAATAGTTCCAAATTTGAAACAATTATTAACAATTAACTGTTTAATTGTTACCTCCTATTATATTTTATATTTCAGATGGAGAAGTGCCATTCTAAAATAGACACTTGGACTTTACATGGGCTTTGGTAAGGTTGGTTATTTATATATATTTTGTTTTCCGTTGGACTTCTGACAAGCAAAAAAAATATATAATTTTGTTTGTCTTATTTTAGGCCTGACAATGGTATGGACTGCAATTCAACTTGGCCATTCAATGTGTCTTTGATAGAGGTTTGTTTCAATATTTGTATTACTCGTAATAACTACATACAGGAATAAATAAAATGTAATCCTTTTTTTAAGTGCCATGACATTGCTTATGTTTTCTTTAGGATTTGCTTCCGGACATGGAGAAAAGTTGGCCAGATTTAATCAGCCCTGAATCTACATCTTTTTGGTCAATATATATTTGTAATACTACATTATCAGCCATTTCGTTTTTTTGTTTTTTTTTAATGATGTGAAATATACCATGATTTTATGAGTGTTAATCATTTCAGGAAGTATGAGTGGTACAAACATGGAACATGTGCTGCCAAAGCTGAATCTCTGAATAGTCAACACAAATACTTTGGCAAAGCACTGGAGCTATACCATAAAGTGGACCTGGACAGGTACAACTGTTTTGTAATCTAGAAGCCACCTTTATTCCAAGTTCCATCCCTATTTAAAATGCACACTATTATTCAGTTTGCATCAGCTAGCTGCTCTAAAGCCAATGTATATATGTTTGTTTGATTGTTTTTTTTATGAAATATGTTTTGCTAAATTACCAACACAGACTTACATCAGTTTGTTTAACAGTGTTTTAAAGAAGTTTGACATTATCCCTTCGACCAAGTACTACCTGGTAAGAAAAGCTTGTATCCTCTAATCAATACATGTACATGATCATCTTTTGTATTTTTTTTTCATAGTTTAGCCACATTCAGGAGATCATTGATGGCTTCTATGGCGTCAATCTGAAGTTCCAGTGTGTCCACCCATCAAAGGTATTCCCATGGGAAGTCTTTTTATTGTTCAACGATATTCTTTTTATTGTTTTTAATATGTGGAGCATTTGTTTTCTACAGAATGCTGGCTACCAGATTTTGGGTCAGATTGAGATCTGCTTCACAGCTGACTTTTCTGTGATGCACTGTGAGAGAGAGTCCAGAGCTGTGAACTCCTCGCTGAGGGCAGAAGCAAAGCCGGGGTTCAGCGTTTGTGACCCTGAGGTCCCAGTCTACTACCCCCCCATGACCATGCTCTAATCTGCATTTGTGTGGCCATCAGTGGGCTTTTTCTTATGTTGTGGAACGGATGGCATACTTTAGGAAATCTGTTTTTTTAGGAGATACTAAGTCACTTGTAACGATTGTGTAGAACTATTTTAGAATCATTTAGCCGCAATTCTTCTGTTATACAATCACAATTTATTTTTGTGTCAACTGAACTCACAATGAATGATAATGTCATTCATAACAAACAGTGATACCTCTTTTTATGAAATTATATTTAACTGCCAGTGCCAAGTGATGCTCTCTGTGCAAGTTTTTAATGTAGCATTTTGGAACATAATCATTACCTCCAGTGATTGCTGTAATGACCTGTCTCTGTTTGCAGAGGTAAACCTCATTATCTATTTTTAAGTGTAACATTAATAAAATGATTCACTTTTGTATATAAGGTGTCTATACTAATTTATTGCGCACAATGTTTCTTCTAATTCAAAGCTCTAATAACTGTTTTGTTTGACAGTCCGGCCATTTCCCTGACAGTGTATAAATATGAATGTTGTGATCTTCTTACAGAGCTGTAATCCCACAGGGACAAAGACAGACCATTAATCCTGAACACTGCTCAGCAGACTGGCATGTTTCATTACATTATGTGGGGACATATTGTGAAAAGTGCAGCACAGATCTATGCTTTAATACCGTGTGCTAAATTTGCAGCACATTTCATCATATTTATATGTCCGTGCATGTCCTGATTCTAGCCCTAATGGACTATTTGAGAACCCTATGATCACCTCTCATGCTCTGGTCCAAATCTCTCTGGCTCTCCACCTAGTTATGTAACACTGCAGTTCAGCAAAGCTGCTGATGCCATATCTAAATACCTCCACATTCATAACTCTCCTACATGGTCAACATATGACTTGGTGAACGTGGTAGCGGTAACCAATTGTTTTTAGGTTATCTAATCTCCTCCGGTCATTATCTGGCGCAATATAATCTATCCAATCCCAATTTTTTTATGTGCGTCATGTTGGAGCCAGAGAGAAAGGACAAGAGGAGGCAGACAGAGGTATCAGCACTGACCGTCTGACCTCACCAGCTGTTGTTGAATGCTGGTGGGAGTCTGTGGGAGACACATAACCCTCACCGTGCAGAAGGGAAGGCACTGGCAGTGTTCAGTCCTCTGCGGTGAACACACAGACACGTGTGCGAGGCTGAAGCAGGGCTCACAGCAGCTCTCCTGAATCAGCGAACACGTTTTCTGTCATATCTGAGCCGCAGCATCACGCAGCATCACGCAGCCTCACGCAGCGGAGGACAGATACTGTGACCGCTCTGCGCTCGGACTGCACGCTGCTGACAGCGCAAAGAGCCGCGGGCCAAAGGACACGATGAAGAAGCTAAAAGGCAACACTCTGGAGGAAACCGTGAACATGCTGCAAGACCAATAAACGATCGTTTCAAAAGTAGCGTATTTTGCTTCTGCATCTATCGCATGGACCACCAGTGAGGTGTCATGGGCACCATTATGGGATAGAGACGCACCGCAAAAGTCCACTTCCATGGATACCAGCACGCGTAAATTCACGGTGCGGAGATGGTTTTCCATCTACCTGAAGAACAAAGCAGCGAGGAACAAGAACAACACAAGCTTCGGTCAACTAGAGGTTTGTCTTTTCATCCTCGTAGCCGAAAAGAAGTTAACTTTGATCAAGGATGTATTAGCTGCAATCCGCTTGCGTCGCCACTGTACTTGTGATTAATGCTTGGTCACAATATGTACTTAACAGATAGTTGCTTAGTCAGGAGGAGATTAAACTATTGTTCATATAACCTCTGTGTTAAAAGGCTATAATGCACCCCTATAACTGCACATGCCAAACAGGCTAACAGATGGGCACAGGCCAAACTGAAATGCTCTGTCAGATTGGTACTGAGCAAACGAGCAGTCAGCGGGATGGCAGACAGTGAACAAATTGATCTATTGAACAAGTGTCCACAACATTGGAAGATCTATGTTCATACTTGGCAACCCATCAAATGTCAGATGCAGCTGTCCTCAGCACATCTACCTGAACTCGATGTTAGATTAAAAGGAGCCAGGCTCCTGGCTGTTTACCAAATGAAGGTAATTCAAGTTGAAGCCTGTCTGCCTGGTCTCATGGCTGCTTGTCTGTGGTTTGTTTACCTGAGCTGCTGCCTACCCATATCTGCAGTTCTCCTTTGATGTCATGAGGATAAATGTCACCTTCTCTGACGTCAGCTTTTTTTGCAATTGCAACTATTAGTCTGGCACACATTACACATTCTTATTCATATGATATTATTCCTAATTCACTTATTAAAAGGATCTTTGCCAAACTATCTCTACTGTTTTGTCTCTTGTAGGATGATAGTATACTGAAGGAGTTTGACATCAGCCACCATGTGAGGGAGGGCTGTGAGAAGGCAGACCCGTCACAGTTCCAGCTGCTTAAGGTGCTTGGACAGGGATCCTATGGAAAGGTACGCCCACACACACTGTTCAAAAGATGCCGATAAACGCTGCTGTTCATTGTGCGAGCTACGTTCTAAGAGACGGGCACTGGATATAAATAACCCCTGACACTTGGCTCAGCTGTGATGGCATCCTGCAGTCTGGCCACCTGTTCCCCCGAGCCCACCTTGGACGGGTCTGCAATTCTGGACTATTAATGTGATGTGTCCACACTGTGTCTACTATGTTGTGTTAAATAATCCTCAATCAATTTTTCATAACTGGAATTCATAAATATTTATTACAGGTGTTTTTGGTGAGGAAGATCCGAGGAGCGGACAGAGGGCAGCTGTATGCCATGAAAGTTCTTAAAAAGGCTACACTCAAAGGTAAACTTGAAAGTTGAAGAAGACTTGAGCTTATTTGTAATTTTCCTTTTGGATGTTTTGGTTTGCCATAAAAGGGTGTCCTTGCTGTGGCCAGGGTTGCATCTTCATAAACTTTTACTTGGGACTCTTACCGCTTATTAAGATATCATAAACCTTTGTCCCTCAGTGGGGAAATTTCAATGTCATTGTTTTGCACATTACAGCAGAATAAAAGGAGGAAATAAGAGTTCTCAGATTCACACTTCTTGTGCTTGTGCACACTTGGTGCTGCTCCTACGACCCGGCAATGGATGAAGCGGAAGAAAATGGATGGATGGATAAAATAAATTAATAATATAATAGAATCACATTTTTAAGATAATAAAATGAAATATTAAGATAACAAAATGAAATAAAACTCTTGAGCTAAAATTGCACTTGGTTCAAGGATAAGCACTGATGGATGGATTATACACTAACAGGTATTCACAGATTTTCATATTGCACTTTAGCAGCAGAGAATTTGACCAGAATAAGCATCAGTCATGATAGCAGCAGGAAAAGTGACTAGTGAATTATAAGTTGAATGCACAGACTCAGAATTTCTCATTGTACAGACTTCCATGTTCTACAGTTTGCCACAAACAAACATCATGCGTGTTCCTCAGGCGAGTTCAGCTTTCGAATTTTTGTCACATCATGCAAGGGACTATCAGTTCTTTTTCAATTCAAATTATTTGTGTATAGCCCTAAATCCCAACAGTTATCTCTGAGGACTTTCCACAACTGTTGAATTTGCAGACGCAGATCAGAGAATCAACAGTTCAAAACAAGAAATGCAATGATAAAAACACTTGGAGCCATTGGTTCATAAGGGGCAGATGATCAATGTCCATAGATGTTGTTGATTCACTGTACTAAAGTCATCAATTATAATAGTTAGTTTTGATTTAAATGTTAGCATCAGTACGACACAGAGTGGCCTATTTTTTAAGGGATTTGGTTAAGAGGTTAGTTTGTGCATCCTGTTTCGTCAAGGGGATTATTTGACACTTTACAGAAGCTGCGCAAAAAAAAATAAGCCTCCCTACCTGCATTTCAGTTTCAAACCACACAAGAAGGGAATTGTGCATTCCTAACAGCTTGATTTTTTTTAACTAGTTTAACATGATTTCAACGGTTTTGTTGTCCTCCGAGATAGCTACTGTTGTGATTTAGGGCTATAGAAGAATACATTCAATTGAAATGAATTGGATGTATTTTTTGGTACCGTCACATCTTTAGATCAGAGTTTTCAGATAAAAACGTGAAACAGATCCTCACTCACCCAATCAACTCTCAGCGTCTAACATTGCTCTTTCTGCTGATGCAAAAGATAAACATGTTTTCTTATAAAGAGAGTGATCTTTTCATAAAAAGTAGCTTTTTGGTACATTTGAAATGCAATATTTTTTAAAAGCTCAGTTACCTATCTCTTATTACATTAGTGTAACAGCATAATGTGCACCACAATTAGATAAATCTACTGATAATTGATTCAATAAGTCTTGTTGTTTTCAGTCCGAGACCGCGTGCGCTCGAAAATGGAACGAGACATTTTAGCAGAAGTGAATCACCCCTTCATTGTTAAGCTGCATTATGGTACGTTTTGGCTGTACATGTATTAGTAGCAAATGGAATTTAAACATTACATGAATACAAAAAAAAATGGAATCTACTATGTGCATAAAATTGGAAGACATAATGTGCTGTATCACTGTTTTTGTGCGCAGCTTTCCAGACGGAGGGGAAACTCTATCTGATCCTCGACTTCCTCCGAGGAGGCGACCTTTTCACTCGCTTGTCAAAGGAGGTGGGTTTGCTCAAATCCTCTGTGCCTTCATTATTAATCTCCTCAGAAACCACATCTATTTTTAGAACTCATTCAAAGTTTTCCATTTGGTTTTAAGTATGAAAACTTTAGGGGTTGGAAAGTTCTGGCCACTTCCGTCCAAGGTGAATGCTGATAGTGTTGAGGAGTCAAGAGTCCATACTTCTCTCAGGAAAGCATTATGCATTGTTCAAACTTTCATTATCAAGTTGTTATGTTGTATGTGCATTAGAATTCACAAACAATGAATTTCAGATTCAGATTCATTTATTTGCCATTTGCAGTAAAACCACATTGGAAAAACTGTGCAAGACCCAGTGTGCACCAGACAGAGAAGACGACACACACCAGAGCTCTTGCCACGGCGCCATGCGACAAACAGTAGAATAAACAGCAGAGAGCAGTAACATACATATCACAAGACAGTTTGGATAAGACGCATTATGTTTTGGATAAAACACGGACGTTTTTATTATGGAAGTGAACTCCGGCCACCCTTCGCTTGTATTGCATTACAATCTTTTTTCAAGTATTAAATGTGTGTATTATTTGTGAATACATGTATGTTTTGGCTGACAAATATAAGGACAGTATAAGATTCCAGCAGAGAACAGTAGAAGGCGGGGGCTGCAGGGCGGGGCTCTCCACAGCCTCTGAGTTTCATCTACACACAAAAATCAAATACAAAACTGGGGTTTAGTTAAATGAGTTGTGTTTGAATATTGGTGTGTCATCTCATAAAGTGACATCACATTTAACATGGTGAGCCTGGTTGATATGGACTTGATCTCAAAACAGATTTTTGATCATAAACACACATAGTCTTGGCTGTTATTTTAAATAGCTGTTGTAATAAAATTGCAGAATTTTTCTTTTTAAAACCTTTTCTAATGATCTTTTTCATTGTTGTAGGTGATGTTCACAGAAGACGATGTGAAGTTTTACCTTGCAGAATTGGCCTTGGCTTTAGACCATCTTCATAGTTTGGGAATCATCTACAGAGACTTAAAACCAGAAAAGTATTTCACAGACGACAAGATGGAGAAGATTGACTTAACAAAAATAATTACTGTGTTTATTTTTTGCTTTGTCTCTGAAATAGTATTCTGTTGGATGAAGAGGGACACATCAAAATAACAGGTCCGTTATTCCACTGCTGGCCTATCTGACTTAAACACTTGAACTTCTGTTTGTTTATTGTTCTGTCTGTACATCAAAGTGAGTTTCTTTTGTTTCTTTGTTTTCAGATTTTGGACTGAGTAAAGAGGCCAACGACCAAGATAAAAGAGCATATTCTTTTTGTGGGACTATCGAGTACATGGCTCCTGAGGTCGTCAACAGAAGAGGGCACACTCAGAGTGCAGACTGGTGGTCCTTTGGGGTCCTCATGGTGAGAAAGCACAGGTGGTTTAATCACTGTTTCCCAACTGGGGGATCGGGTTCTTGAAAGGATTTTCAAAACTTGAAGCATTGCTAGTAATAGGTTTGCATGGTCTGTAAGGGATTTCAATCTGGAGAGACTACAAGAGACCAGCTGTGGCCTTGCTCTGTGAGGATCTGGGCTTCAGTGCAGATCATGATCCTCCGGGGCCTAGACACTGGTGGCAACAGGACAAGGTGGACAAGTGTGAGCGAGTGACAAAATCCTGAGGTGGAGGTGGGGAGGAGGTGGTTGTGGCTTGAAAGGCTGTTTGGTGTGTGGTGTCCAGCTTTTAAGTGCTGGCTTGATTTTCACGGCTGGCAGGGAGTTGATGAAGCTGAGGAAGGCGTGGGCCTGGTGCGATAACGTAGGTAATCTACCACTTTGAACTTCTGCTTTAGCTGCATGTTATACACCATTTTTAAGCCAATTTTCTCAAGAAATATATTATATTCTGAACATTGAACCCCATGTTGTTGTATACTTTATTGTTCTTGTGGACGTTTTTTTCCGATCAATTTAAAATTGATAATAATTTGATCAAAATACCTACATGATATGAAATTAATACCATAAAGGCTAAAACAATTCTTGGCCTGGCCAAAATGATTTAGACCACTGGGGTATTTGTGAAGGATTAACTTTATATTTTCTATATTTTTCTTTCAAAATGAACAATGGAAAGAGTGAAACATAAGTGGTGTTTTTTAGTCAGAATCCTACAACTCAGTTTTCACAAGACTTGGATTTTTTAATGAGCCTAATGCTGGATCATTTCAGCCGCCACTTTTTCAATATCTTTTAGTCTCCCTTTGTTGTTACACAAATACTAGACTAGTACCAAGCATATTTAAACCAGACCTCGAATCAAACTAAGGCTTGACAGAACCACATATGAAGATTTTTGTTTTGTCATATTTTGAAGATGTCAGGAACCAGCTCGACAGCCTTGAAAGAGTCTTATCAGCCTGTTGGATTAAAGGGGAATGTTCTGGTTTGGTCATTTTCCTTCGTCTGCCAGAACGGCTGCTTAATGAACAAATCTGGCAGATTAAATCTCATCATTTTCAATAACCGCGCATCTGCTGATACTCCACTTGTTTTGTTCGGGCTTATTTATCTAATACAGAGGAGCATTCAGGGATAGCAGCTGACTGCTTCATCTTTGTGTGGGGAAAACATCTCAATCTTCTGCTACTACTCCTCTACTGTCTGGGGCTTTTCACATCAAATAAATGTTCTCTGTTTTATTCTTTTAGTTTGAAATGTTGACAGGATCGTTACCTTTCCAAGGAAAAGATCGCAAGGAAACCATGGCACTCATTCTCAAGTAAGTGTTAAAGAAATACTTCAACTGCAATTGATCTACAGCTGTTCTGTTTTAACATCGTCCTGTTCTTTTGAGTAGGGCGAAGCTGGGAATGCCACAGTTCCTCAGTCCTGAAGTGCAGAGCTTATTAAGAGCACTCTTCAAGAGAAATCCTGCTAATCGACTCGGTACTTTACACAAAAACTCAATTATAGCCATTCAAGCAACAATCTTAACAGCTGACCCACTTCATTTGTGCCATTTTTGAAAGGCCCTTTTAATATTTACCTGCTATCTCTAAAAACTATTTCAACATTTCCAATTATATTCTCTTCATTATTTATTTCCATTCTCAGGTGCAGGGCCAGATGGAGTTGAGGAGATAAAGAGACACCGCTTCTTTGCATCAATTGACTGGAACGTGAGTTGAATGGACTTTGTTATTTTAGTTTTTTCCAATAACTGCTTGGACTGCAGTACTGTTACCAAGTAGGATTGCTGCACATGGCTGAATACATTATGGGAGTTGTTTTCACTGTAAATGTCGTTTGTCGAGGTACTCTTGGCTTGATAAAACTTTATTCAGTTATCAAGTCTAGTGAGACTACGGTAATTTCATTTTCTTTCACTGGACCTCGAAATTGGCTTGAGTTGAGCTCATTTTATGCTATTATGCTTAAAATAAGCTGGGCGGGCACGGTGGCTGAGTGGATAGCACTCTCGCCTCTCAGCAAGAAGGTCCTGGGTTCAAATCCCGGTCGGACCAGGGCCTTTCTGAGTGGAGTTTGCATGTTCTCCCCGTGTCTGCGTAGGTTTCCTCCGGGTACTCCGGTTTCCCCTCCCACTAAAAATATGTACAATAGGTCTGGCATGCGCCTCCTGTACTGGCGACCCCGCTCCCATCTCTGTGTGGAGTGAGTGGACAAATGCCCATAATATAACAATTGTAAACCGCTTTGAGACTCAGATCTGCATTGAAAAGGCGGTATATAAAGGATTACTGTCTTACTACTATTATTGGTTGAAATCCGACACATGACATTTATTCCTTTTTAATTCTTTCTCCCTGAAATGTGTTTAGTTCTATCACTAGTTTTACATGCATGTATGTTTTGGCCTCTGTCACATCTGTAAATCCACTTGTTCAGAAGTGTTAAACAGTTATTCACAAGGCTCAGTTTCACGTTTTCTAATAGGATAAAGACAGGATGTTGTGGTCTGATTTGTTCACAGCATTTGACTTTTACAGCTCTCTTTCTATTGCATCAACAACATAGTAAGCAAAACGCTTAGGTCCCCCAGCTTTAACTTTGCTGTTGCAACATGTACACTCATCTGTTAACTCTTTGAGACCAACAGCCTTAATTACTTTGTAACTAAATGATGTAATTCTCAATGGGAGTGGCTTCTTGTTGGGGTTTATCCACACTGATGCTCTCTTTTCTGACCAAATCCACTTTGTATCATCTGTTCTGTGTCCCTGCTTACCCCGCACTGCACACCGAACCAAACAGACCCTGCCAAACCCTGCATTCTGCCACTTACAGATGGTGATGCTGGCTTCAGTCTTTCCCTCTGCAGGACACGGTGCCAGTGAAATCACTTTAACAGCGATAATCAACTAATTTACACTACATAAATCTGTTTACGTTTCACTTTTTTTTTTATATTCCAGCATATAATAGATTTGATTTATTTTTTTCATCTATTGAATTTTGAGCAGCCGACAAGCATTTAAACTGAAGCATCTGCAAATATGAAATAATTTGTCATACGGCTGGTTTTGCTCCAGCCGTATGACAAATAGAAGTAGAATGAATATTGACATATTGATACTAATAAGATTATAAAGTAACATTTGGAAGCTGATATTATTTCAATGTAACTATAAAGCTGGAATAACCCAAGCCTTTCCAATGGCGCCTCCTGCTGGACATTTACAACACATGCAGCATGATGAAATCTTTGACGACCATTTGTCATTTTTCTTTGTTTTAACTGCTGTTTTGTAGAGATTGTTCAAAAGGGAAATGAGGCCTCCGTTCAAACCGTCAGTTGGGCGACCTGAGGACACGTTCCACTTTGATCCAGAATTCACCTCCAGAACTCCCACAGGTACGAGTGTCCACACGGGCTGGGACTCATGGCTGTGGACAGTAAGACAATTGTGACTGTAAATGAAACATAATAATACTAAACTTCACCTACTAAGTTAAGGTCAAGTTACATATTTCATTATGCTTAATACTTTTGTCTGTTTCAGAAATACTTTTTGTTTATCCTAGTCGAGTCTTGAAATAACATAATGTGTTTTACATTTTATTTTACACACTACATTAGTCTTTGTACAATGCACATTATACTCAAGCTCTGCTTGGCAGAAAACAATGTGAAGGCCAACATTTTTTATTATTTTCAAGATAGAGATTTGATGCTAGAGATAGAGATTTTGTATTTTTTTAAAATTAGTATAGCTATTGTCCACTTATCTTGTGCCGTGTGCTCCTCTTTATGTATAACTTGTGAAGCAACACTGAAATGTCTCCACTGTGGGACGAATAAAGGAAAGGATCTCTTAAATTCTGTAGACGCATGTGAAAACTATTCATAGAACCAAGCTATTTAATAGACATGGATTTGATCACATGTATTTTATGTATTTAAGGAGATTGTGCAGTTATATTAAAAAGATTGCTACACCAGATTTAGCACCATGTTACTTTACATAGTTATTATGTGTGTGTGTTTTCAAAGTAAGTTACTCCAGCTTCAACAGAAACACATGTTTTAACAACACAGAAGATGTGACCATGTCGCTCCTTCTTTTGTGCCTTTTTTGAGAAAACAGAATGATTATTAGAAGTACAAGTGAAAACATAGAGAGATATTGGTCTATCCATACATGGATAGACCAATGTCATTTCCCAGATGTGAGCCCTCCTTTTCTCGCAAATCCAGTGAAATAAACGAGCTCTTTTATATTTCTGTCTATCTTCTATGATCTTAGTGTCAGAATGTACAAGTCCTTAAGAGCTGGGGTTGTACTTGTTGTAGTTGAAATGTTGTAATGTACTTTTTTTCCTTTGTTTTTGGAGATTCTCCAGGCCTTCCTCCTAGTGCAAATACACATCAGCTGTTCCGAGGATTCAGCTTTGTAGCAACCAATCCAACTCAAGAGGCCAGCATTAATGTTGTAGCACCTTCACACAATGAGGTCAACATCAACTCCACGACACAGGTAATCATGGTTTGTCTTAAAGTAGCAGTATGTAATATTTGCATGTCAAGTCATCATTAAATGGCCCCCATATTTCAATAGGCGTTATTAAATCATGCTCTTTTCGAATACATCTTTAACTGACAACAGTAGTTCAGCCGAGATATTTGAATATCAGTATTCGTTTTACAACCCGTAAAAGTTGTTATTGTTTTGATTTTGATGTCCTACCCTTCGCCGTTTCGCCAATCAGGAAGTGTCATGTAAGTCCGTGATCGGGTTGCCAGAACTCCGCGTGGCTCATTAATCTCATTAATCTCATTAATGTGGCCGCAGAACTAAAAAAGGTCTTGTTATGACTATCAAATCATTAATGACAAAACAAAGACTAAAACGAGGATTTATATCAGGACACCTTTGAACAATTGAGACAGCTGATAAAAGTTTACGTGTGATGCAAAATTTGCAAACACTACTCTTCAGAGTAGTGATTATTGTGTGAAGTGGTGGTCTAATGGTTAAGACTGTGCGCTCACGATGTAGTAACCCGGGTTCGATTCCAGGCAGGGTCTTTTTGTATTTAATTGCATGTTATCACATTCTATGACAGATTGCTCTAAAAACGGTAAAAGACGAAGGTCAAGACGTTTTTTTGCAGATTATAGCTTAATTGTAAAAAGAATCATTTGAGACCACATGTACCCAATTAAAATAATGTTAGTCTCTTTTTGATGTGGGACTTATACATGTTTGTCTAAAAAATAGGGAATAAATAAAATGTAAAGGTCATATCCTCTGGAGCAAACCCTGATGTTGATACACTGAAGAAATATGTTCCAACATCCATTCTTCCCACTCCTATTTTGGACATCAATTGCTTATTTACTTTGGATAATCTATAATTACATTGCTTTTAATTTGTTTTGTGTTTTTTATCTCAAATGTCCAAATAAAAAAATAAAAAAAAACATTAATTCAACATTAGCACGCCTCATGGCAATGTGAATGGAGACAGACAAACAACTGATAAAATAATTCCTTGTGTTTGCTGCTGGATTTGGTGTGTATCTGGCAACCTGAGTCAGGGAGAGTGGGAGAGGACTACAAAATATTGACTGTGACTGCAGTACCACTTTTGGCCAGATTTTTACATATTGTTCCTTTACATCAAACTACGCAACTTTCCTGGTTTAAAGTCCTGGGCATTTAGATTGTCTAGGTCCATCTTAAAGTTCTTGTTTTGTCTGGAATCCTCCATATTATGGCATTCGATTTTTCATCAATGTTGAATATAAAAACATTATACCGTTTATCAGAATTTTGTGATCATTTCCTTACCTTGTATGTATGTATTATACATACAATGTATGTATGTATAATACATACATTCCGAATGTATTTTGTTACTTCTGCTGGTGATGAGGTGTTGTAAAAATTATTGGCAAGAAAAAAAATATACTATTATTGCAAATATTTGTGCCTCTGCATGTCTTGGTTGAGGCTCAAGATTCACATGGAACATACAACTAAACCGCAAAGTTTCAGGAAAAAGATTTAATATTTACTGTTTCCATCAAATCAATTATAAACATTAATGTGCACAATTATACATTATGGCTATTATCCTAAGCATTAAAAATATGTGCCTAAATATGGTTCTGATTCTTGATTATAATGATTTTTTTTAAATTACAAGATATTATACGTAATATTATGAAAAAGGAGACAAAGGTTTACTATCGATAGAGCTTGAAGGAAAAGCACAGTGAAGTGACCTTTCCTGGGCGGCACAGTGGCTGCTTTGGTTTCCTCCAGGTGCTCCAGTTTTGGTGGTGGTTTGGGGGCTTTGATGCGCCAGTGCTTTTGGCGTCTCTCTTCCATCATCACCGTGTGGGGAGAATGGAACAATATCTGCGCTATATGAATAAAGATTACTGACTTACTTACTTTTCTGTGCCCGCAGCAGGTCCGAAGCGATGTTCTGTTCACTGATGTTTATGAATTGAAAGAAGAGCTTGCACAGACTGCCACCGCCGTTTATAAGAGATGTCTACACAGAGTCACTGCTGTAGAGTATTGTGTGAAGGTAATTCATTTCATTTGAAGACATTATTATTGTTCTTTGGTAACAGACTTAAAATTGTATTATTCATTCCCCCCTTGGAGATTATTGACAAAACGAGAAAAGATCCAGCGGAGGAGATCGAGATCCTACTTCGCTATGGCCAACATCCAAACATTACAGGCCTAAAAGATGTAAGCAGCCCACACAATCGTTAATAAACTGAATAGCACTGACTTTAATATTATTTTGCTTATCTGGTCTGTGCATGTGTCTAACCTTGATTTAATTTCAGGTTTTTGATGATGGGCACAGTGCATATCTGGTTCAAGATCTCCTGAGAGGAAATGAGCTCCTGGACAGAGTTCTGACGTCTGCAAACTTCACAGAGAGAGATGCGTCAGACATTATCTGCACACTGACAAAAACTGTGGAGTATTTACATTCGCAAGGGGTATGTCGCATTATCTTTTGTATTATTATTATAGATATAGCAATACAATGGGTTTCTAAGCAGCACCATGTATAAAATATTGATAACACAAGAATCCTCACGCTTTGGCGTCATACAATAGACAAATACAAGAGCTCCATAATGAATCTGTAACACAGTATTGATATTGTGATGCTTTGCAGATGCCATAAATCTCACACACACAAACAGATGTTGTAACAGAAATATCAAAACGATCTGTTCTACATGGCTCCTTACATCAGGAGGTACTGGGTACGCCTGGTTATTAGAAATGTCTTTCAAAACATTGATAGTAAGAGGTTTATATCTGCTACCATGTATAAAGTAGCACATATAAAGATGAAAGTAATTTATTTATTCAAAATTTTAATGAGTTTGACACCCCAGGGGTATATGAAACAGTTGGTACTTGTTCCCTGTCTAGGCAGGTGGTACACGGGGCAAAAAAGGTTGGGGACCACTGCTTTATATGAATGTAATACAATGTAAATTACCCTCAGGTTGTTCATCGAGATCTGAAGCCCAGCAACATCCAGTATGCTGACAACCGGGGCCTGCCTGAAAGTATTAGGTTGTCAGATTTCAGCTTTGCCAAACAGCTCCGAGCTGAAAATGGTTTACTCATGACTCCCTGCTACACTGCGACATTTATGGCTCCTGAGGTAATGGTAATATTATACTTACATGGTTACATACCTGAATAGATCCAGGGTCATACTATCCATGCGGTATGCAGGTTCTGAAGAAACAAGGCTACGATGCAGCGTGTGACATTTGGAGTCTCGGCATTCTTCTGTACACCATGATTGCAGGGTCAGTCCTCTTTTACTCAAATACTCATGGCCAGAATACTTTCTTAAGCTCTGATATCTTGTTTGTCTGATTTAGTTACAGTCCATTTGCCAGCAGTCCTAATGACACAGGAGAGGAAATATTGGCCCAAATTGGAAGTGGTAAAGTCGTAATCACTGGTGGGAATTGGGATCTGGTGGCAGACACAGTGAAGGTAAAAATGTGGATTGGAAATACTACATTATTTTTAGTGGTGTGTTTACATGCGTGCTTGTACATGTGTGGAATGTAGGATCTGGTCACAAAGATGCTGCACGTGGACCCACACCAGCGGCTCACTGCTCCTCAGGTAAATACTGACATTTTTTGTTTTGTTTGTTTTTTTAACACAGTAATTAACAAGGACATGTATTGTGTGAATGTAGATCCTGCGTCATGCTTGGATTGTAGAGAGAGAAAAGCTTTCTGACCGAGCGCTTACAAGACAAGATGCACTCAGAGTGAAGGTACGTCAAGTCTATATCTTTATGGATATTTATGAATGTAATTGACATGTCTCTGTTGTCATAAAACCTTTAGTATGAGTGTTGTACCAGCGCATTGTTGTACGCTGATTGTCCAGTAGATGGCTCTGTTGGCATACGCTGTATAATCAGCCACTGCTTACTGACATGACATCTCTTCATTTTTGCACTAGGGGGCGCTCTCAGCCACATATTGTGCGCTCAGACGCTGCTCTCCGGCTCCTTTGCTTGAGCCGGTCCAGTCTTCTTGCCTGGCTCAGCGCAGAGGGACAAGGAGAGTCCCGAGTCCCAGCATCAGTCCCCTCGCTCAGACCGACTCCAAAGAAAAGGAGCAAGCCGGTGACCACACTCCCGTTACTCAAGGTTAATAACAGGACTATTGCTAGAACCTGGGTTGGTTTAAGTTTGGGTTCTGTTATGTTCAAATCCCCACAAAGGTCCTGCGTTCAACCAGGTCAGGTCTGGATTAGAATGAGAAGAACCAACAACCAATCAAAAAATCATCTTTGACACAGTGACAAATCTTAATTTTTATTTGTTTTAAACTATGTTGAAGACACAATATAGACAATTATGCTTCACGATTATTGTCAAATTACTTTACTTTTAATCTGAAAATGATCTAGTTTATGTTTATTTATCATGATCAGGTGTACTGTGTATTATAACTAATATAAGTGTTCATGGCATGGCATCCAGCTTTAAGAAACTCATGAACTAAACTTAATCACATTTGTGGTTTGGTTTTAGCAGCTTTTACTCCACAACTTCCAAGTTTACTGGATTCTAGCAACTGATATATTGTGTAAAACACTTCAGTAGCAATGGGGCCCATGGGCAGCTGCAGAGGAAAAACATATTCAGTAAAATAAATATATATTATCAAATGGTTACTGTACACTCAAACATGTGTTAATCATGCGCAGTTGTAGAACAAGTTTCATATCAAAGTATTCTTGATCATTCATTATTATCACCAGCCCTTACACAGATCTCTAGCTCTGAGCTGTACAAACATGACACTAAAGTCTGTGTAACTTTAAACGCAGCAGTGTTGTCTCCAGAACAGAACAGAGCGGAGCAGGAGCTGCAGCAGCGACAGCGGCTTTATAAAGGCTGATATTTTAACCTCACTGTCAGGACCGCACCTTTATGTAGGAATACATAAATGAGTACAAATTAAAATAACAGCTCTCTGCTGCTCTGTGCAAACAAACCGAACAGGATTTACCACTTTTCGCCTGAAAGGATCATCTCCAGATTGGGAAAAGAGAGTGACTGTACAGACAGCAGCGCTCCGATTGTAGCCGGGCAAACGCCGGGTGGAAGAACATGTTTTTTTAAAGGCCTCTAGTTATTAATCCACAAACATTTTATTGTAAGGATTAAGGGAATATAAATACATACTGGTTTTCCATTTTTATTTTTTGAATGACAAAAAGACTTAATATAAAAAATATTTGTTAAATGAAATATTTTATTTTATGTTTTACTCATTGTGCCATTTCCCTTTTGTGCATTGACAATAATTATGCCAAGCAATTTAAAACTAGTGCAGAAACAAATGCTATGCTGATTCTCTTTCTGATGACCTTCGTCAGTTGTTGTATGTATTCCATGAAACCCTTGTGTACATCAGAAGCTTCACCTGCCGTTAGTGGATCTGTCTCTAGTTTCAACACTATTGGTAGCAATAGATTCAGAAAATCAGACGTCTCTTTGTGTCTGCCATGGTAGCACCAGTAGGATAGAACAAGTTGTGCTATAACTTCTTCCGTCCCATAATAATGGCAAAACTAACAAGAGTAGCATTGTTCTTTGTAATCTTATGTGTTTACCAAATGAAAACATTGTGCGACTAAGCATAAATGACACTGTGCATTACACATACTTGAAGGAACTGTGTTGCAAGTTTGAAGAAGTGCTGTAAATATGGTTTAGTAACACAACTTGTACAGTAAATATATCTGTATATTGTGCCACACAAATTTATGCAGACAGACAATTGTTGTATATATTAAACTTGCTTTGTAAATATTGTGAATAAATTAACAGAAAGTTTATTGGTTTGGACTGCCAAGATTTTACTAATAAAGATGACGACAGATGCAAATTGATTTCTGTTTTTTTTCACCTTAAGAAATAAAATGTCTTTTGCAACAACAACAAAAATGACACATCATACATTAAATCTGCACAGTAAAAATAACCTACAAAACATTTACAAACCGCTGCTTGTAGTTCAAATTCATATACGACTTTTAATTCAAAATCCTTCTGGAAATCATAATAATGATCATATGTTTATTATTATCACAAGCAGCAATGTTACATGTAACAATGTCCACACTTTTTAGATCACAAATTCTCTATTAGTTTGTTCTGAATATTATTCATAGTTATTGTGATCGATGATGAAAATGTGCCTCGTAAATGTACGTTTCGCAATCAGCCTGGACTTGTGTGTTCTATATGAAGTTCTAAAATTCTATAGATTTATCCAGAGGGCAAATGATTCCGTCGAATGACATTTCCAAAAGTTGTCTGTTTACAGCCATAATCCCTGCAACAAAGTTTAATTTGTATCATGCTGGAGCCTCGCACTTTGGGCCATAAAAGCTTTTAGCAGCAGCGGCAGATGTGTCAGGTGGGTGTGGCCGCCTCATCAGCTCTGACATTTAAGTGCAGTAGTGCTCAGAACACACTGCATTGTGGGATATGAGTACATTCAGATGACAAGCCCCCTGCCTGGATGATTGTAGAGGAGTGACAAGTCGAGACCAAACAACAGATAAAGGAAGGGGAAGGTGATGGCAGGGAAGACGTGCCAGGCAAGACGAGAGGACAAGAAGCTTTGAAAACAATAACTCTCCAACAATTAGAGCTTTGTCATAATTATGGACATCACAGACAACAATGAACACGAACTATTTTCTCATCTCAGGCTCTTCCTGGTCATTCAATATCTGTGGGATTTAATGTCACTTGAACTAAACACAGCAGCTCTAAAGAGATCTTATAAATGTTGTTTGGAAAAATATATATTTACTACTTATCATCATTATAAACCTTGAAAGTTTCAACGTTCACTTTGAAAGCAACTGCATGCTGACATCTAGTGGCAAATTTGCAAACAGCACTAATTTGATCAGTACCAACATTATTCTTAAACAAAAGGATAAATGATGAGAATTTCCTGTAATGCTGCATCCTAATTAGAAAACCTACGTCTTAACTAAACCAGTGGTTCTCAAACTGTTCACACCAAGTACCACATTTGCCAAGGTGCACCACATTCAACCCAGGTTGGAAAATCTGCCATTTCTATGTGGAGACTAGCATCCATCGTCGGTTCTCAGCAAGAAGGTGCTTTCTGAGTGGAGTTTGGAAGTTCTCTTCATGCCTGCTTCGGTTTCCTCCGAGTGCTCAGATCACCAAAAACATCTCTGGGGCCAAGACTCGCCTGAAAAAGTACGAAGATAACATTAGGTGGGATTCCCAAACATCTCCTAATTTATATTAGACTATAGTGTTCATTATTTTATTATCTCCCATCTGTTTGGTAGTGATGTGATGATATTTTTGGTTAAAACAACCAATCTGTAAATTTTCTTCCAATCTATATCGGGTATAACAACAAATTATTGACCAATGAAGTTATCCAACCACCCATCTGACTCACTGTCTTACCTATGGACACAATGACATTTTGCCACTTTACAGCTACAATACCCCACTGTGGCATCTGGTAATCTCAGAGGTCTCTCATCACAGAACTAACCGGGTCTTATCCTATACTTAGCCTCTGAGGTCTCACAGGATCAGGCTTTCACTTGCGAGTAGCTTCACAATAGCCAATCTGTTTTGCTATGGTGCCAACTGAGGCACATTTGTAATTCTGACCAACATATTGATCAATCCAAGCTATATCTGTTTAACCAATTAGACCGGTTTACCCGCAACCAACAGATATGTAATTTTTTGACCAATACTTGAGTTTGTCTAACCTGTATCGACTTCAACCAAATAGAATGGTAGTTTTGTGTTTTTAGAATACATGTCTCTTGAAAGAGATATCCCACTGTATAAGTTATCACTCCAACTAAGGTTATGCCAGAAGTTTTCATGCCCTACCCTTCCGGATCATTTTTGTCAGATGTTGGGCCTTAGAATATAAAATACAGTGACAATGACAGACATCCCACCACCTTCAGTGCAGACAGAGCTAAGGACCGCCGATGGCACTATTCAGCTCAACATGCCGTTCGGACACTTACCAAATCAGACGTATAAATGCGTAGCAGACGGCTCCTGACAAAGACATTAGGGGTGTGACAGGGGAAGAGTGTGCTGTGGTGTGCAGCAGTGGGACCACACGAGGTGGGGGCGCAAGGAGTCAACTCTTTGTACATTCACACATTTGACTCTTGTCTTCAACATTTGCTAAAAGTGTGGGTGGAAGAGCAAAGGGAAGTGGTGTGCATTTACTCAAGTAGTTTAAGTCAACTTAAAGCTGGAGTGACTTTGAAATCACCAAAATAAAAAACACGATATAAGAGGACCAGACTTCAACAATCAGCTCTCTGTGTGTAAAAGATCAAAATTGCATTCTATTAAGATAAAGACAGCCTGTTTTGGCCTGTTTTACTCACAAAATATTTCTTACTCAAGACTCTTTCTGTTGGGAAAAAGCAAACAAAATAGGCAGAGGCGTCCCGTGCCAACAGGCAAGGCAGGCAGCTGCCTGGGGCCCCCAAACTGGCAGGGGGCCCCCGAGGACCGACTGATTTGACACAAGCGATCGACTTCTACAGGCTACAACAGCTACCTGCAGTGAACTTTTTGTCTGATGCGAAACTTGCCACGTTCTTTATTAACAATTAAAAGCCTTTCTGGGGGACCCTTTATATCAGCAGAACCGGTGGTCTAGTGGTTAAGACGCGGCGCTCCCGACATGGATACCCAGGTATGAGTCTGTGCATGGCCAGGTTTTTGGATTAAACCATATATTATATTAAATGACAGATTGCTCAAGAACAGTAAAAGGTAGAAACAAGCCGTTTTTTGCAGATTAAAGCTAAGAGCCTAATCTTTAATTTAGACTTTATAAACACTGAGGGCCAAATGAAAGATTAGATTTTGTAGGATTAACACACTTTAATAGGTAGTTTTTGTAATTAATGATAACATGATGAGTGTAGTGAACAAGCGTATAAAAAGACATGCTAAATTATTTCTCATTGCTTTGTGTCACGATAAGTACTGAAGTACTCACAATTTTCTATGGTAGACTGTACAGTCTGCCAGGCAGGCCCCAGGCCTTAGCATTTATTGTAAAAAATAAGAAATTATCTACATTTAATTTATATAAATGTAAACAAGTAATAGATATTGCATTTTACCTTATTTATAAATATATATTTATACCTACTGTAATATAAACCTTTTTACGTTGTTATGTTGTCGGTATTGGGGCCCCCAAGGACTATGTTGCCTGGAACACCTCTGAAAATAGGTAAGGTTCCCCAGCCTTAATTATACTTGGGCTGCACAATATTAAAGAAATACATAACTAAATGTTTTCAGATAACAATTTGGATTATGAATTGATTTGCAATTCTGTTATGAAGCTCAGGCTAATGTAAGTGCACAAGGAGAATTTAAAATTGAGGGAAAATTCAAACCACAACATGCACGCACATACATAAACACACACACACACACACACACACACATATACACTTATACACAAACACACACACACACACACACATATACACTTATACACAAACACACACACACAAATATATACACTTATACACAAACACACACACACACACACACACACATATACACTTATACACAAACACACACACATATACATAGCAGTGATCATTGTATTATTAAGTTAATTGAGATAATTTGCTGTTTGTAAAGAAAATAATGAACTGCGGTCTTTGAGATTTGCTATTTCTGCTTCCATTGTGATAATTGTGCAGCCCTAAATTATACTTCCAAAAACTATGGTGAGAAATGTATTAAAAAAGCCTTTTTTATTATTTGCGCAGACTGGTGTTATGTACAATTGAAAGATAGTAGTAATATAATGCTTTGATTTTATACAATGCTTTTTTGAACTCTTGTTTGTTGGACAACTGGTGTAGTTTAATAGATAGTAGTAGTTTAATAATAGCGAAATGTCTTGCCTAAGGACAAAACCGTTTTGCAGCTCAGCCGCGTCACTGTGGCACGTCCTGTTCCTAGCAGACTCCCATCACAGTACTATCCAGACCCCTCACTGCTTAGCTTCCAAGATCTGACAGAATCAGATTTCAGAATATTTGACGAGCAGGTATGGCTATTGAAATGTGGCTTGGAATAATATTAAAGGGTGAATATTGCTTAAAATTTTAATTCCTCTTATTCCAATGAAAGATCATTTTAAACAGGATAAATCTAACATCTATTGAGATCATTTTACCTTTTTATTACATATACATTGTATCCGTTCGTGCATTCTATGTCAAAACATAGAGCCGGAATACTTCTGACGATCAAAAGTAGATTGGTTTTACATAAAGGGAAAGCCAGAATGGCAAAGTTTTATGATTTTACTTTAAATGAATGGTATTAGTCAGACATGTTATGGAAAAGTTCAGGATAGTTATTATTTATTTTCCCAGAAGCTTCGATGCAGTGAAGAGCAGTGAAAGAGCACAAATGGACCATGAGGCCAAAGTGGATGGAAGGCTTAATGGGACACAGTTTGATGTTTTTCAGACACAGTTTGCAACAGGCCACAAATTGCAGCAATAACGTTGACATAATCATGTAATCAAAACACAAATACACTGACAAGTCAAAGGTGGCAGAGGAGGATAAGTGAAGCTCCACAGAAAGTCAATTAATCTTTTCAGCGCTCCCCCTCGCCTCCGCCCTGCTTAAAAGCTTCATTTGCCACCTATGGAGAAGAGATAGAAACACCATTAGTGAGATGATGGCAGGACTGGAAAAGGGGAACGGAGAATCTCACAGATGGATGAGCTGAAACAGTACAGGCCCCATCTCCTCAAAAAGTGTGCACAGGAAAAAAAAAGCGAGAATAGTACGCTTGGGGGAACTCAATTGGATTCTGTCTTGATTATCAAAAGCCAATGTTGAACAACTTTAATACGGAAGTGCACCTCAGGAGAAGGAGGAGTGGGGGGCTGGAGTGCACGTGTGGCAGGATAGTGATTGAAGCCATACATTAGAAGACAAGACCACTATTTCCATACCAACATAATGTCAATGTTCATGCGTGTATTTGCATGTGTGCACGTGAAGGAGGACCCCAGCTGGATAAATGCACTCCATGTGTGTTTACTTGCACACAATCAAGTGTGTGCGAAATGCCAGTGAGCATATAGGCCCCGCTTCAGTGAGCCCGGTGGGCGACTGCAACACAATTGGGGGTCTCTGTGGAAGAGGTCAGCACTCACACTACAGACACAAATAAGGAAGTTTGGATGGCCAAGCAACATCAAAAATATTCTAATTCGTGACTCTAATTTTCAGTACATTACACCAAAGAACAATGCCTTTATTCAATAACACTGAACGACTTTTTGCTCAAGTTGGAAGCAGAAAACTTAAACCACAAACGGGTATTAATATACAATATTCAAGAGTCAAAAAAAAAAAATCAGGTACACAATGTTATCACTGAGTTTTAGAGTACTTTAAATGATAACAGAGAAGAAGGAAAAGATTTACCACTGCTTCGCATTTCTTCTCAAGATCAGTGAAAGTGTTTGGTTAACCGTCAGGTGTTTCATCTCATGGACGTGTGTTTGAACTGTGCTGGTACAATGGGTGCACATGTGTTTTTGACCCAGTTAACACGGTCCCTGTCGAACCAAACGTACTTGGCATTGGTCAGCTGATGCTGGTGTTAATGTGCAGGGTGCTGCGTTTATATGAGCATATGTTTGCTGGATGTGGAGCCGGGGGACAGCCTCATGCTGTCTGCCTGGTCTGGTCCTTCTGCACCAGTAGAGCTGGCACTGCCTCTGCACGAGAGGCTGTGCCAGCTGGGTGCAGGGGCTGCAGAGGACCAGGTCAGTTGTGACAACGGATCGCTTCAGAGCTCTGGGAGAAATTTAGAAAAAGTTACAGCTTTTGTTTTTATTTGGTAAAAAAAAAGTTGGCACTTTTTATTACCACACTGCCATATTTAATTTCCTTGTTTAAGGACTCTGAAACCAGTGAACACCTTTCTGATACGCATAACTGTTGGAGAGGAGTCTGCTGCTACCACTTCCTTGTATCATGATTTCTTTACAATGAATATTTTTGAACTATGGCATAAACTGTTATCATGCATTTATCCAACTCCAGCCATTGGACCTGGGTTTGGTCACTGGCCGGACAGGGTCTTTCTCTGTGGGGTTTGCATGTTCTCCACCTGTACGTTTCCTCCGGGTGCTCTGGTTTTCTCCTACCACAAAAAAACATGTGCAATAGTTCAGGGTGAATTACTTTGTGTTTTAAAGTGTAATTGTGGGATAATGACTAAAACTTTGTGGTGCCACCTGCACGTGATGGCCTGACCCTGTTAGAAGCTAAGCAGGGCAGGGCCTGGATAGCACTGCGATGGGATACCTCTGGAAATACCAGTTGGCATTGTGGGGAGGCTGCGGCTGTTTGCCTAATGTGCTTCTAGTGTACAGACTAATGGTGAGGGCATGAGGGTCAGGTGAGGGGCTGATGGCATAGGTTGGAACAGAAAATAATTATTGCGTAGTGGTGACGGATATTTGTCTATGGCTTGCAATTGCACACATTTCAAGACACAGATAATGATAAAAATAAATACATGACAGTTCATTGCAGACACAACAGAAAAAATAGGAAGTTACTGCACAACATTCTGCTTGCTTCCGTCCACTCCAGGGGCAGCTCCAGCGAGAAGTGAATAAATAACGCACAAAGTCAAGATGTTTTTTGGATTGTCTCATTTTCAGGTCTGCATTATGTTTCTTTTGTCTCATTTTGTTTTTGGTTTTTGTTGGATGAAGTGCCATGTGTTGTATAACTTTGTGGTCAAATGTGACTGATCTTCACCAGTTTGAGATACTATTAGCACAACCTACAAAAATTTTGGGTTCTATGAGACAAACCTCTCATCACATTTACATTCACATATTTATTTACATAAGGTAAACAAATAAATTAGGAATAAAAGTATAGCAGTGTGGTAATAAAAAGTGCCAACTGTTTTTAACCACTACTTTTTGTGTGTGTGTAAGTTTAGTTCATAGTATATCTTCAGGTTATTGGTGAGAGAGTTTGTAAATAGTGACTTTGTTAAAACCAGGACTTAAACTTATTAAAGTAGTCTTTCCAACACAGAAGATGGTGTCTGAGAAAGCTGCTCTCCCCCTCGCCCCCTCACAGGCTGTGGGTCCAGGACTGGGACACGATGGCACAGCTGCACCGGGAGCCATGCTGTCACAAGCGGTTAGAGTGACAGCCACTCACACTTCATAATGTCCCTCTCACAGGTCAGCGAGCGACAAGCTGGGTCACTCTACTGCAGAGCCCACCCCTCCCCCCAGGGGAATCAGCATCCCACTCCGACCAAGCCCCACATCCTCCAAACAGCTACGAAGACAGGTGAGGGAGGTCCTCACCCGAAACTGCAGTGGAAGTATACTGGCACTAGAAGGGCAAATACTTACTTGCAAAATGATAAATATGATCAGTGTGTATACAAACTTAAAATAAGCACAAATGCATTCATCATTATTATTTTGTAACTACCTTCATTTTGGCATCATCATTCATTTGCAGCAGGGTGAAGTAATAATGTGATAATAGGATGTCCATAGAGCACAATGTTCCTGATGCATGTGATCCAAATGTCATTAATGTGCGTTACCTCTGCTCTGGCCCTGCTGTGATGTCTCATCTCGGCTGCTCAAGCCACAGCACAGTATTAAAATGTACATTAGTGAGCTCACACTGTCACTCTAATTGCTTTGGCATTTTCACCTAATGCACAGCATTCAGGTCATCACTTCAACTGTCAAGTGTGTATTCCTCTAATAGAGTAACTGACTCTTGATGACTCTCATTCTCAATTGTACATGTCAAGAAATTAAGGCTTCCAAACTAAAAAGAATAGATTATAATAATAAAAAGAAGATAAAAAGTATGGGCCTATTCTACTTTTCAAGGCCGCGATACATATTTCCTGTTTTGCCCATTCAGCCCACCGCATGAATCCAGGGCCATGTAAGTTAATTGGAGCCAATGTCTACAGTTGGCTTGAGCTGTGAGTGAGGACACTCATACCTAATTCCCGTTACTGAAACAGTCTCACTCAGAGTGGGTAATTCAGTGAAGGGCGCACACACCCACTGAACAATGTGTAGCAATTAATTGTGCTCTCCCTCCCACATCTGGCGCTTCACAGTGACCCTGCCTCAGCGACGCCGTGTCGCTCCAGCTAGACAAGCCTCTGCAATTTCACACGTATGGGCCACCAATGAAACGTGAAAAGAATATGTGCCATTGTTAAATTGCATTAAAGAGTTTAAAAGTGTAGATCCGTGGGTTCCCTCCCAGTTCGTCCCAAACAAAGCAGAACGAGCGCTTCAAAGCTCACTGATGAGAAGTGACATAATGTAATATGCACCGAGCAAGCACTCCACAGAGGGGAACATTTCATTAAAGAGGTTTCACCCACTCTGAGTGAACACAGCCCAGCAGGGGCATCAGCAGGAGCATCAGCAGGAGCAGCAGCAGGATGACTGACAGGGCTCAGGCTCAAGACCACAAACCCACATTAGTTTAATTATTGAATAAAACTCAAGTCAAAGTTTGATTTATGACTGAACTTCAGAAACATCAGAAATATGTGTTCAACTTTTAAGATCAAATCAATTCATTTTTGTATTGTCCATTATCATAACCGTTGATTTGTCAATAGCAAATTAAAAAAATCAAACAATCAAAATAATTTGGAGAGCAGAAGAGACTTATTTCCATTCCTGTAACAAATCCAGGTGATCTGGACATTACTTGAAAATGTTGTCAAAATTCTGCCCATTACATATTGCAAGCCAACAGACATACTGATAAACTCTGCCCATTACACTACCTCCTTAGCAAGCAGATTCTTCAGTTGAAACTTTTATGCTAAAAATGAAAAATACAATGGACTATCTAGAAACTGTATCTAAAATGCTGTGGTGTCTACAGCGCCAATTAATCGAGTAGTAGTTTAGAACATGCTGAGGCCGCTGGAGAACTTTCAAAGGCATAATATTTTCAGACAACATTTTGCTGAAAACTAAATTGAGATATTTCTTGTCATATATTTTTTTGTAATTACTGCTTTGTTTATGTCTTAAAGCCACCCTGTGTAATTTTTACAGCTGCTCCATATACAAAAACATGTTAACTAATAACAAATGTGACCTTTTTAAGAATATTTACCTCCACCATGTTTTTGAATTGTATTCATAGGCTTAGAATTTAAATTATAAATGTCCATGAGAGAGGAGTGCTCTCTGTGTCAAAGCGCCATCTTGAAAAACAGTGGTGGATAAGGGAAAAAAAGGATGCGAGAATCGCATTTTGGTTTCACATGAACCACTGATATGGTTGCTTTCACCGTGACTTCACAAGTTGGAAGAAGGAACCATGGAGGGCCACAGTTATGTAAAAGAACCATGGAGGACCACAGTTATATCAAAGAATCATGGAGGACCACAGTTATGTAAAAGAACAATCCAAACAACAATCTTTTAGAAATATAATTATGCAAAAGTCCAGTGTCATAGCAGCAAAGTGTCAACATCGCAAACCACACACACAAAGACAGCGTTAACACAACAGGAGGCACATCGTGTAGTTTGTACACAACAGACTCACATATGAACAATATGTAACTAGTTCACACTGACAGTAATGAGAACGAGGCAGAATCTACAACAAATCTCAGGATGTTCTGACCCGATCCAAGCGCAGTCCAACTACTGTCACAAGTTTCAAATAAACTTATTCAGGGAAAAAGCCTCAAATAAAACACACTCAGAATCCCCACAAAACAATTGCCAGAATACTTCATCAGCAGTGTGTGCGAATGTTCTGTTTCTTACCGTGATGAAGATCGGGCGCTGTGGCTAACGCTAATGCTAACATGAGCTTTTAGCAAGCACCGGTGATCCAAGATAATAATAATAATGCATCGGTTTTATAGAGCGCTTTTTTGGACACTCAAAGACGCTTCACATGTGTCATTATTCTTTCACTCCATACACGGTGGTGATAAACTACTACTGTAGCCACAGCTGCCCTGGGGCACACTGACAGAAGCGAGGCAACCAGTATGTGCCATCGGCCCCTCCGACCACCACCAAGCATTCATACACACACCAGACTCATTCTAGGCAATGGGGGTGAAGTGTCTTGCCTAAGGACACAACAGCAGTTTGGCACTTTACAGCCGCAGCCGCCCCACTGTGGCTGGTGTTCCCAGAGGTTAAGTGTCTTGCCAAGGACACAACGACAGTAGTCAGTGGGAGTCGATGGTGAAAGTCTTGAGCGGGGCTTGAACCCACGACCTTCTGGCTCAAAGGCCAACGCTCTACCAACTGAGCTACTGCCGTCCAGATGGCACCCTATTCAAATGAATGGCTTGTGCTCAGTAGCGCATGGGACTTCACAGAGACCGGGAGATTAGCAGAACTCGCCTATATTTGTCTGGTCCTCCCGGTTCTGCGCAGTGGATGAGCTCCCATGATGCGTTGCGCCAAATACGTGTGTGTGGCTCTCAAGCAGGCGCACAGAGGGGCTTGGCTGCGCTCTGACCAATCAGAGCTGCTCATCAGAGCAGCGGTAGAGCGGAGTCAGAGCGGTAATGAAAGGAGCAGAGTTTGTGGCAGTAAAGTGTGGATTTAAAGAAAACTGAAGGATGAAGAAAAAAAGTTCAGGATGACAAGGGACACAAAAATCCCCACAAAATCCGACCTTTATGAAAGCTGTAGGCTCTTTGTCAGCTGAGGTCGAGCTGGTTTAATTTACATTGAGTTCTATGGGACTTTTTTCTGGGTGGCCCTCGTAAATTTAGTTTGCAGTACCACGGGCGCCCCCTGTGCCCATGGGTGGGACAGCTGTAAGCTAGTAATACCCTATCCAGTTATTATTATAGATCCATGGCTTTTAGCCATGTCCTGCCGCGGCTCTGTATATCACCTGCTTGTTTTATCATCATAGTTTTAAGCTCCCACAGACGTTATTCCTCCATGCATCTCTTCTCTTCACACCGCGTTTGTAAAACTATGTATTATTATAGATCCATGGTAAAACTCAGTAGAGCCTCTGCGCAGCCGGTGCCGCGTCTGAACGCGGTCCACCCCTCCTTTGAGTTGAGCTCTGTCTTTGACAGTGCTCAACTCAAAGGCTTCCGTACTTAAATAGACGGCAATATAAGATCTCAACGCTAGATGGCACTAAATATTGTACAGTGTACCTTTAAAATTAGTCTTAAAAAGCACTTAGGTTGGAGTCTGTAAACTGAGATAAGGATTATTAGATAACGAATAATCAATTAGTAAAATGGTTGTTGATTTATTGATTAATCGTTACAATGTCGACAGATTGTTGCATTTGACCAATATGATCTTGGTCGGCCTTTTATTTCAAGAGCACACCCTTTCATTACAGCACATCTCTCTGTGCCACTGTGCCAGTCACCCGCTCAAGGGCTCTGGAGATATTTCAAACATATCTGGGAAATCAATCTTACAGCAAACTGAAGGAAAACATCGAATGTCATTGAGCAATAAGTACCATGTCTATCAGAGGTGGGGCTGAGAGCAGGGCCTGCGGCGAGTTTAGCCTCACCATGTCCCACTGAGAGGTCTTTCAGCTGGGCCCCCTGCTTGTACACACACACACACACTTACACGCATACACACGCACACACGCACACACGCACACACACACACACACACACACACATATACACACACTGCACAGCCGACTCACTGGTGGGACATTTTACTTTGACAGTCTTCACAGCGTAGAATTCTCCATTATTTTGTTTGTGTTGCTTAAATACAGTGGGTTAATATTAATAATAATAATGCATTGGTTTTATGAAGCGCTTTTCAGGGCACTCAAAGACATGTCATAATTTTTTCACTCCATACACGGTGATAAACTATAGATACAGCCAGGCCCGTCCCAAGGGGGGTGCGAGGCCCTGTGCGAACTCGAAACGCGAGGCCCTGCCCTGACACTTTTTTCCCAGATCTGAGGAAAGTTTTTCCTGTTATAATCTTTGACATGAATTCAGCACCACCTCGCGCGGTGCTTGACGAGATCAGCACGCGTGTAACCGAGTGTCTTCGCTCCTATGCAGCGTTTGGCGCGCGCACGTACACACGCACACACACACACTCTACGTGCAATATTGGTCGCGGTCTTTTTAGCTGACATGTCTCTTTCGTCCTGTGGCAAAATGGTAGAGCAACTCAAAAGATTGAACCAAAAGGAGTCTTTTTCTTCTAATAGTTAGATTTTGGCAAAATGCGCCAAAATGGCTATGAGGCGGAGTCAATATTATTATTTTCTCATCAAATAACGTTTTTGCCATGCCTCCACACACTGACAACATACACTCCTCCTCCTCCACACTGACAACAACAAAATACTCTTCACCTCCTCCTCCACACACTCTGACCACAACAAAAACACTCCAGCTAGCTAAAGCTAGACATACAGTGTGTTTGCTAATGCTTTTAAAAATATGTTTTTGATGTGGATATTCGGACTAAACATTGGCAATAGCAGCGCTCACACACCTGTCACACCGCTGATCCTCCTCCTCCTCCTCTGCTCACACAAAGGGGTCTGCTCCTCTGCTCACACCTGTCTCACTGCTCCTCCTCCGCGAGTATCCATCTCTCCTACACTGCGATCATTCCCGTTACTTTCTTTGTATCTCACTCAGACACTGCTAAAGTTATCTGACAGTTTTTTCGGAGGACCCGTTGCATACATAGCTGCCCGCGCGCCTGCCTGTTTACAAATCGCTTTTGGTGAAAATTTGACTTTACTTGTAAAAATGTTCTTTTGATCAAACGAAATCAAAGAGGTCCAGAGAAAGGGGTTTAGGGTTCCAAATTTGGAGTGCAGTCTGCCCTTTGGGGACCCTTGAACTAGTGTATTTATAAAATAAAATAAAAGGAAGGAAGATTGCGAGGCCCCTGTGTGGTGCGAGGCCCTGTGCGACGGCACAGGTCGCACAGCCCTTAGGACGGGCCTGGATACAGCTGTCTTGGGACCCACTGACATAGAAGTGAAGCACCCAGTATGTACCATCGGCTCCCCAACTACCACCAACCATTCACACACACAGCAGAGTCATTCTAGGCAATGTGGGTAACGTGTCTTGCCTAAGGACACAACAACAGTTTGACACTGTACAGCTGCAGCCGTTCCCAGAGGTCTCCCATCACTGGTCTAACCAGGCCCTACCCTGCACAACTTCAGAGGGTCGGATGGGATCTGGCTTTCGCATTCAAGCATGGCCGCAATGTCTTAATGTTGCCATCCTTACATTTTGTAAATTCTTACAGAATTCTTACATTGTGGCTCTCCTTCATTAACCTCAACTATTATTGATTAAGCTCACCTAATGATCAAGATAACTCAGAAAGAGTGGGTGTTGGAAAACAAACATTCATGGCCTCATCAAAATTGCGTGTAGTCAATGTCGTTAACAAAACATAATAACAGACTAGTAAACTATGTCAAATATAATGTCATCATCAAAATGCATAATTGCTGTGTACACGATTATCATTTTCCATCCATCCATTTCTTGGTCGGGGGTGGCAGTCAGAGATGCACCCAGTTCACAGAGCAGCAGCCCCTCACTGATCCTCCTGTATGTGGTGAGTCCACAGGAGGATAGCTGCTCTAGTCTGAGCTGCCTTGATCTTTCAGAGGGGGGTTCAGGCAAAGTTGGGTTAAGTGTCTTGCCCAAGGACATAATGATAACAGACTGTTTTTCTTTTGTATGATGTGTTCTCCTGTGTCTTTATGAGTTTTACTTCCTGTTCTGTTGATTTCCTGTGTTACACCTGTGTCTCCCACTTAAAATATTATTCCTATTTGTCTCGACAGGCTTTCCCGCCTCACTGTACATAGGCCTATCTGAAGTGTGTTTATGATTATTCTGTAAACTGACATGTACTTACTATTTTTTTCATCTATTTTTTATTATTATTGTGAAGCGCTTTGTGATCCTGGTCTGTGAAAGGCGCTATATATATAAACTTTACTTTCTTACTTACTGTGCTCTTTCCCTCTTGTTGTCAGTCCATTAAGTGTTTGTTCTGTGGTTCTTGCCTTCGGCCTAAGTTCTTGTGTTTTACATTCAGTTGAGTTTTGTATTTGGATTCTTGTTTATTAAATTATATTACTTCCTGCAGTATAACATTTTTGGTCCTTCCTCTTTTTTTGATACATGACAATAATAGTTGGTAGGCCAAATTTTAAACACCACAATTATTCCATTAGAGAAAAAATGTCAGCACATCAATTTGACTACTTTGCTGTGCTTTGGAATTAGTCTGATGTTTACTTTTTGGGCTAATATGAAAACACACAATATAAATACACTTTAATGGAAACACTTCATGATTAATTATAGAATTTCATATTTTCATAGAAGTTGATACATGGATGCAAGCAAATAGAAGTGTGTTTTTTTGTGTGCTGTATTTCAAATCTTCAACAACTTTGGATTTGAGAACAAAAGTTTGAATGGAGATTGAAAAGGGGAGATTTCAGAGGATGGGTAGAAATATAAGCGGGGGACAAGTGAGCCCAGACAGACAAGTGAAGGGAAGCAGAAGTTGATGAAACAAGATGTCACCACTGATGGGTCATTACACACAAGTAAGCATGGGACACTAGCTGGGCCTGTGCTGACCTCCTCCGCTCCTCTTTGCAGTTTGTCTCTGTTGACAAAGTGAGACAAGCAAATGTTCTGTTGCTTTGGCCTCTCCCTTTACGACAGTGGCTCATCTTTGCGGAACAGCGGCTCTGCACTTGTGTCTTGTAGTGTTTCTAATTGGCCCTCTCATAAGCATGTTAGCCTGTTTACATGGCAAGGTCAATTGAATTAGGTGTTATAATGAGCCGGGGTGCTGAATATGGCGCAGCAGAGCATGCCAGGGCAGAAATCAGGTGAATCCAGTTAGGGGTGTTTACACTTTAGAGCGCATGCATCTAGTGATCATTGCACGGTCCCTTGTTGCTCATTACCGTCATTCTAAGCCAGGATAAAGATCAGGAAGGCTTCGTCAACAGGACCGAGATATGGGATCAAAATGCGACACTAATGTACTATTTCGGTAGTGTGAGAGTTTAATAGTAAAGCTCACCCATTATGTGTTTAAAGCTTACTCATTATTTGGAGCACAATGCCCGTATCTCATGGCCACTGACCACATCCGCAGAATAAACCAATTAGGTGTGTGGCATGAAGTATGTGCCATGTGAACATATACAGGGCGCTTATAACGCCATTATTCAAAGTGTGGAGATGTGATCAGCCAGTGGTTTGGAGACAGCTTTTGAGGGCATGTGAAGGATTTGATGGCTCGGAGTGGTAAAGTCACAGCGATGGAAACGATAGAGGCAGCCAACAGTAAAATACATGTATATGTTCATTGTACTGGATCAGTTACTTCACCCAAATACGTAACATACAAACTTAACACATCCCACTACGTGTTAAGTTCAGTTTAGATGTGAGGATTGCGTGTGCCGATAGTGTAATATATGCAAGAATGTTCATTAAAGTCAGGTATAATCTATAACTGCAATTAGATAGCATGCATCCTTGTGTTTTGAGTAAGACTAGTCAGTGGAAATAAAACCTGTCCATCGAACCAACAAGCCTCTCCATTCACACAGGACACACATCTGTGACAATAACAATTAAATTAACCATGCACAGACAGGCATTGGTGTTGGTAAGGCGTGAAGTCAGAAGTCAGAAGCGCTTCGTCAACTTTGGTCCATTGGTTCAACAACAGCGATGTTAACAACAAGACCACACGCAGCATTGCTATCCTTTACCGTGAAATTAGACAGGAGTGTGAAAGCGGAAAACCAAACGGGCATGATGGGGATGAAGCAGCGCATCACACAGTGGCGTCTCTCTCGCTGCAAAGATAAAAAATGGCAGAATGTTTTATTTTTTATTATTATTAAAGTAGTGTAGCATCATGTCACAGAATTTGGTTATTTCAAAACAAATGAAATGTCATAGCAGAATATTTTTGGTGCTAAGATTAATATTAATGGCAAAATATTTGTGGTGTTATTCTTGTATTAAATATTATCAAACAGTTATAAAAAAACACATTTGAATTGTCTATCAGCAGTTTTGACCTTTTAAATTCTGTTCCGTCATGCTTTTATAATACCCTGCAGACAAAATGACAGAAGTGACATTGACCTTTCCATTAAATAGTAAGCAACTCAATTCAAGTCCAACTTTTTATGATATGCAATAGGTCTGCAACAAAAAGTAAAATAAAAAGCTTAAACTGTACACTTACAACAGTAGCAACAGTAAACAATAATACGTATGATAAAACAATGAGGAAAATGACATGTCAGTAAAATAGTAAGTAATTATTTAAAAGCTGGTGCACACCTTTTCAGTCCCAATGCAGTCTCTCATTAGGCCATTCTGGAGGTGAGGTGCGTGAAGCTGTGATGATAAGTATCCAATATCTCCCATAGTGTCATAGTCAGATGAAGTGGTCCTGGACATGGGCTGGCGGAGCACTGGTTCATGGGACTCTCTGCGCACCAGGCCTAGTTATACTGCGTCTGTTTGAGGTACAATGATTACTGATATCACACACACACTACCTTCACTGCAGGGTATGTGTAAAATCACTATGCAGAAGCAGGTCGCTGCATTAAACACAAGCATATGCTAGCAAGGAGTCTTACCATGATCTTGCACACTGCACTCCAGTAGACTGGGCTTCACCACGCTACACTAGGCCGTATTTGCGCGCATTATGTTGGGCCGAGTGTGCTAGCTCGTGTCGTGGTTCTGGGACGATGGTGGAAGGCCTCTCTGAGCTGGATGCAAGGCAGAGGCCTCCTGCAGTCATTGGTGTGAGAGCCCATTTTCACAGTTCACACCCGACCTGCTAATGGTTGATCATTCATTCACGCTCTCTGTTGATTGTGCAGGCAGGGGGTTTGCTAATGTACCGTACGTAGTGAGGATAATCGGTGAGAGCAATAAGCATACTAATGGTCTGTTGGCCATGAAAACCAAAGTCTGGTAATCTGGGAACTCGAAAGAGCAAGGCGTTTAGCTGAAGATTGGATGTACAGTATGTTTGTCCAGTGAGTAGTAGATGTTAACTTTGACCACATCAATGTGAACAGGAAATATGTAAACTGAGATCAAATTACTGACGCAGTGGTTTCAGTCCGTTTTTAGAGCAGAACATGGTCAGATGGCCTATCTGACCATGTTCTGCTCTAAAAATGCTGGCTGGGAAAAAACAACGTAATTGGTCTCCTATATATCTACATTGGTTTAACCGATCTGGATAGATTGACAATCATATTGGTCATAAAATTACTCCGAGCAAATTGGCCAGCCTCGTTGCCTGGACAATTCATTGTGGCGCCACCATGAAAATGTGAGCACTTTGGCCTTGATCCTGTTTCCATCAGCTGAATTGAAACCTGGCCTGGTTAGCACTTTGATGGGAGACCAGGTGCAACAGTGGGGTGGTTAAAGTGCCAAATTGTTGTATCTGTTGGACACTTCACCCACATTGCAGAGTATGAATCTGGTGTGTGTGTATGAATGATTGTTGGTGGTCAGCCCACTAGATTGGTCATTCTGATCTATTTGCATTGATGGCCACTTTAACCAATCAGATTTTAGAGTGTACTTTATCTTTGAAACAATGTGTCATGACATGATGTAGGCCTTACTTCATGCATTCCTTTCTTCACCAAATGCACCTGAGTAGTCAACAGGTTCAGAGGACTGATCTGTACCATTATGAACCATTATTCCTTCATGTCTTCAGTGTCTGCAGGTGACGGACTTCAGGAAATGGAATCATGTTGTAACAACATGCCTTTGGTTACATTTGTCCGGTTAATGAACTTCACTGTGTAAAGTGACACTTTGCAGAGGGTCTGTTTGAATTGTAAATGTATATCATGCGTGCTAACATTAGTGTGTTCTACTTCTCTCTTTTCACAACACGTTAGGACAACCTTGTAGAAGCAGTTTTTAAAATCACAGTGTATTTTCTGATCCACTTCACTTCCTTAGCCTGTGGATGAGACCTCTCTGTCCTCTTGTCCTGCAGAGTCCTGTTGTGCCAAACATGACAAACTTCCTCAACTTTACTGGGTGATGTCAGGAGCGTGCATCTGTTGGCTCTGCAGGCGAAAAAACAGATAGACTTGGTGCCAGAGAAGCATAATTAATGTTCTTAATTGGTTCTTCTCTTATAGTGCTACTGATAGTCCACTCATAGTCACTCATGTCTCCAGGGCCTCTGTAGTTTGTACTTGTCAGATCTCATATAATACTCACTGCACAATTCCGACTCACAAGAAATGTGTTTTTAATATATGTATTTATGCACTATACACTGGAACCAGATGCTTACATACACTGTGCAAAAATAAAAAAATGTCTTACTGCCTGAATGAAACTTTTGACCTTGTAGAAAGTATGATAAATTCTTATGAAGAATTCTATTGAGGCATTGACCTAAAAGGCTGGTTTCTACCATTTATATTTGCTATTGCATTCATTATATTTACAAATTAATAATTGTTCACTGATTACTTTGATTATTAATGGACTGTTTAAGTGTTTGTATCTTTATATTCACTCTATTGTGGATGTACTTTATTATTCTATTATTGTTTGTGTGTATCGGTGTGCATATTGCATGTACAATAATTCGAAGAATGACATTGAAAAATTTTTGTATTATGTATTTCTTTAGTATCACGTTATCATACGCTTAAAACCATAAGATTTTATTTCAGTAGAGACGATACTTTTACTACCATCTTCATGCAGTTTTTCATAACCAAGTGAAATGGACTATTACTTTGAGGTTCAGAACGTCACATATATGGTAAATGTTTTATTTGTTGTGTTTCTATAAGTTTTATTTTAGTAGTAACCAGCAGGGGTCAGTGGTGTACCATTATCTAAGCCTAATGATAAACGACGGACCGTAGGTTCTCCTTATTCACTTCAGCTTATTAGTTATTCAGAAGATAATAATCATATTTAGTACCATATAGTCCCTTTTTTTATGTACTGGACACAATGGATTATTTAAAAAAAAACAATAATAAAATTATCAATAAAAAACAGTTAGTCAAATTATCAATAAAAACTATTTTAAAGATTATATATTTGTGTGTGTGTCTGTGTGTGCGTGTTTGTAGTTGTGTGTGTGTGTGCCAGTGTGCGTGCCAGTGTGCGTGCCAGTGTGCGTGCCAGTGTGCGTGCCAGTGTGCGTACAAGTGAAGCATATGTACTGTTGTCTGCCGATTATTTGGATGATTTTATGTTGTGCTAAGCGCTTTATGAATAACATTTGATTTTGATTTTATTTTAAAATACCTAAACAAACTAAACACACCACTTAAGAATCTGGGTTGCTTGACTTGCATCAAATCATCCAGCACAAAGAAAGTCTGACACACTTTCTGTGCTTCCAGCCTCAGGCAGAAAGCTAATTAGGAGGCCCCTAGTTTTATTTACTGTCTGCTCCTGGCACAGGGCTGTTTGTCCAGTCTGAGTTCAGCCCATGTGGCTTTGCCATTCTTGCTTGTGGCAATTTCCCAAGGCACCAGGCTTAGGCAATTAACAGTTCGTGTATAGAAAATAATGATAATATTATTACTGAGCAATTGATAAATTAAAATAGCTTGCATTCACATGTCATTGCAGCATTCTAACTTCCACATATTTTCAATAATATTGGAGCAAAAATAATTCACTGTTAATTATTAAAAGCTGCAGCTACATTGACCGGATTCATGGTTTATGGTTGAAACATTTGTTTAAACTCTTAATGAGATATTTTAGAAACAGCAATGTCTTTATTGCAAACAATCAATCATGGAAATATTACTTCACACACTCTTCAGAGCAGAATCGGCACCAAACATTTTAAAACACAGTAAAACATGTGTTTGAATCAAAGCTTTTTTGTAAACAATAAATTGGATTGATTGAATTCAGGTAATTGTTTCAGTACTGGCTATAATTTGTTTTTGAAGACAATTGAAAAACTAATAATGAGACTGTTTAACATTTATAGATTATAAAATTGGACAGTTCTTTCAAAAATGGGGGACCCTGCTCATCATCTCAAAATGTGTGTGCAGGTGTGTTTGTGTGCGAGTGAGTGTAAGTGTGCGTGTGTATGTGTATGTGTGAGAGTGTAAGTGTGACACAGCTACACTGTGTCTGTGTGTGCGTTGTGCATGTACTTAAACTGCCAGTGGACGTCCTCTGATGTTGATCAAACAGAACCTGCAGTGTCCCACTGTCCCTGAGCTGATTCGAGGCACAGCCCAGTGGGGCGCTCCTTCCAGGGTTCCAGGGCAGCTCCATTTGCCAGTGACAGCAGTTGTGCGGAGGTGATACGCCATGGTGACAGGGGCAGCCTCCCACTGCCTGCTCCACACAATCCCCTGTCCCAGCGCCAGTGCCCCAGCGAGCCCCGCACCTCGCCCACATCAGTCAATAACCGGCAGGCGGCCACTCACAACACCACCTGCAAATATGGACTGAGAGAAAGGAAGTGATAGATGATAGAGGAGTGGAGTGTCTGAGTGGTATCTGAACACAGCCCAGCGAGAAGAACTCCTATTATTGTGTCCGACCGAGCTGGCACTATTGCTGTTATAGCCGGAGGATGACCCCAGTGACCCGGAGAGCAGGGCGTGGCACTCACAGCTGTGGTCACCGTCTCACTCACAGTAATTAATACACACAAAACAGACCAAGTGTGTCTGTGCACAGAAACATGCTGAGGTTCGACTGCTTATTACAACCAAACAGTGAGTTACAGTCTGACAACAGAGAGCTGTGGGTAATTTCCCATCATGCCTCATCAGGAACAGCGGGGGGCCAAGAGCTTCACCACATCAGCTCACACTCGGACCTGGGTAGAAAATTACCATCATTAAACAGTGTATGTGAGAGAGGAAAACAGAGCCAAAATGGAGAATGGTTTTATTGTAGACAATGGGACAGAGAAGATCCAAGCCGAAGAAAAGATTTAGATATCTGAAACGTTTCTATGTTCTCAACAGAAATTGGTTGGTGGGATTGAGAAAACTCCTTTTTATCCAGTCTCCAATTGTAGCCAAACAGCTATTTCAGTCCAGACAGAAATGCATATCTCAACAAACCAAAAATCTTATTGTCCTGGATGTGCGCTGCAACACTGAAATTTCCCCACTGAGGGACGAATAAAGGTTCTCTTATCTTATCTTATCAATCATATCAGACTATCTTAGCTTACTTGACATTATATGTGTACTTTTAAAGTTTTTAACATGACAACGTGTGTAACATAGAACAAGAAAAGCATGATTTTCTTGAAGACAGATCTATAAAACGATTTCCCCCTGACAAATACATGACAGAATTGCGCTTGTTTTTTTCTTTTCCGCAGGCCCTTCTCCAGCTCTCATTAGGGAGCGCCTCAGATAGTATTGGATTGAAGTGTGACTGTATTGATCGCACTGGCCTCGGAGGACTAATGTAATCAGTGCCCTCTGCCTCCGAGGAGCAGCAGGCGGGAGATTACATGTGGACAGGTGGGAAAAGAGCCAACATCTCCTTCTTCATCAGCTCTGGAACACCTATATCTATAGGTACAGCACGCACACGCAGAGGGTAAAAGAAGATTTGAACTGGTCTCTTTACTTACTGTGTGACAGGGGTGTCCAAACTTTTTAGTAAGAGGGCCACTTTGCTTCACCTAAAATGCACAGGGGCCGACAACATGTGTTAACTGGACTAAGGCTGTTCTGAGCTCTAAGATTAAGTGTGAAATGTCAATATTGGTTCATCTTTGTCAGAGCTGAAGTTGGCTGAATGACTAAGGTTTACTCCTCAGATACATTAGTATCATACAATCAAAAATAAATTAGTCAAACAAAGTCAGCCGATTCCAGAAAAATTGAACTTCACAACCAGGAAGTATGTCTGGATTACACTGTGAACTTGATCTATTTTTGGGTTAGCAAGGCTGAGGGCCGTATAGAATGACAAAGAGGGCCGCAATTGGCCCCCGGGCCTTAGTTTGGACATGCCTGCTGTATGATAAATAGATATCAGTAGTAAGTGTAAAATGTGTTTGTTTGTTTTTTAACTCACAGTTGTCATTGTGCCTTACTCTGTTTACTGGGCGCAATGGTTAGCATTTGTTCTTCATGGCATGAAAGTTCTGGGTCCAATCCCTGGGAGTTTGCATGTTCTCCCTGAGTCTGTTTAGGTGTCCTCAGACAGACTGCAGTTTCCCTCACCACCAAAAGCATGCACAATATAGGAATAAATGAATGAGTGAGCAAACGGACGGTAATGGTGGGAGGGTCTGGTTCGGCGTCTTGCTTCTATCGTGTGGAGTGAAAGAAATTACATCAAAATTGTAAAGCGCATTCTGTGACTTTGGTCTATGAAATGTGCAATATAAATACAATTTACCAGTATTACTTCGTATCCACATACCCACAATCTCTTTAATTGAATAACATCTGCATTGTGGAGTAGGGATTGAGGCTGGGTTAGACAAAACTTGAATCTGGTCAAAACACACATGGGCCTGTTTTCTTTAACTTTAGTTGAAGAGGACAATAAGTCAATTTACAGTTGAATCGTTAGTTCGGTTGGCAAAATATTTGAAAGCTTTACAAGTGGCCCTTCACCAAGTGTTTTATTGAAAAGATCTATTTTAGTGCCATACAATTAAATTTTCACCCCTTCTTGAGCACATTATTTCAAATTTACTGCAAATAACAAAACATGGTAAGGATTGTAGCTGGAGGAGAACACATTTTACGGATATATCTGTTCTTGAAAATTAACTCATAAATTAGATTTCATGCAAAGCCTTCTGTGTTGGGATGTCTTCTGAAGATCAACAAAAAGGCCACAAACATTAAACCTGTTCATCTGATGCATGTCTCTCACCTTGGTGTAAACGTTGTCATTCTTAGCAGATCTGCCCATCATGACATTAAGTTTTGCAGCTTTTCTGGTTCTTGGAGGGACTCAGAAGTGTTTTGTGCTACTACGCGTCTCCCTGGTTGTCCTGACAGCTCTGCTTGGCCTGTGGCGTTGTTTCTGTCTCCTCTGTCTTTCTATGTTCCTCAATGCGATGTCCAGCGTTTAGCCTCTTGTTCTCTGCCAATGCCTTCTCCGTTTCTGCTTGTATGTCTGAACTCACTCCCAATAGGTTCCCAACATCAATCCCACCACTTTTCTCTTTATTGCATTTTGGGATTCAGATTAGGCTAATGAATTGAGAAGTTGTGTTACTCTGCAGGGCCTCTTTGACTGAGGTCCATCTTGTTTATATTGAACACACATACAGTACATTTCAACAGCAGATGCGCTCTTGTGTTTGTTGAAGGAAAAAGAGAAAGCCTTTGCATGCATGACCCAGTTGGGCTTGTGCCAGTGCTGGAAAAGCCCGAAGCCAAAGAGTGTAGACCTGGACTCCCCCACCACTACCCCAACCATACACACACACACACACAGAAACATACCATCTGGTCCCATGCCTTTTAATAACTAAAATAAATGCCATAAGATGTAGGCAGCATGGAGCATCCGATAGATATTAGGAAGAGAGTAAGTTGTAAGAGTAAGCAACAATGGGGCTGAGAACACGGGGAAATGCATGTGATTAAGGCTTGAGTCGGAGAGGCCATCTTTTTGAAGTTCTCAAATCAGGATCTTCAAATAACTAGTTCATCATAGGTTGCCTGCATGATTTTTCTTTACCTTCTTTTCTATCCTCTCTAGTCTTTCTCTCCCGCTGCGTACAGGAGCCAGGCCGACTTTTGATCCTGACATCTGCGTCTTGCAGGAATGTCTGTCCGCTCCCTCTACTCTCTGATGTAGCTCCAGGAACTAATGGAATGTGAAAGAGACAGACGGGCTTCTGGTCTGAAAACACTGCCCTCGCTACATACACGTGTACATGTATATTTACATGTGTGTCCAACAGGGCACCACACAGATCCACTGTCTACTTCAATACTCATATTTCCAGAGCATCTTTGAAACGTGAAGTCAAACAGAATGGGACAGGCGGAGAGTGGATGATAAACCAGAGGTAGATTTGCACAAAGCGATATGTTGCATGGTTTGAGATCACCTAACCTTTGTGCCACAGTGTACCGGGTTAACCACAACTCTTTCCCTTTTTCTCTGCCCGCCGCACTCCCTCGTTCTATGGGGAGAGTCTGAAGGTCTAAAAGGGTGTTTACAATTCGCTAATCTGACTTCAAAACCAGCTTAACTCCAGGAGACATCAAAGGTGTGCGCGTGATGGCCCCGCTGATCCCAGTGAGAGGGGGATGTATGATAGACTGGAAACATAGTGCGAAGGGGCAGGGGAGAAAGAACTGGAGGAAACAGGAGGTTTCAAAGACCTTGTGATGACTGTCTCACTTGAGTCAGAAAAATAAAAAGTTATCATTGTGACATACAAAATATTAGTAGTTTTCTTTTGTTAGTCCCAAAGGTGGGGCTAAGTCCTTTTTTTGCTAATAAAGTAAGCCTCAGTTATCTTGCCTCACATCGAAATTCCACTTGCTCGGAATATTGGAGTATTGTGATTGGCTCGTAATAATTACAGATATCCAGGCTCAGATGTTTGTTAAGAGAACATTGGTCACTAAAGTCCACACAAAGTCCACACAAAGGAACTCAATAAAGTGTTTAGGGGTGAAGTGGTGGAGAAGTTCTAAGGTTGGTTACCTCACAAAGATTTCCCATTCTTTGAACATCTCACAACAGAGCACTGCTGAATTCTTCATCCTGGAATGGGAATAGTATGGCTCTGCAAATCAAGAAAGACACTTTGGCCAAACTAACTGGCAGAACAACCAGCAGCAGTGAGATGAGACAAGAGGCCCATGATAACTCTGCAGGAGCTACAGACACCCACAGCTGTGCGGAGGGAATCTGAAAAGGTACATTTTTGGCATGAATCCAAAACTCTATATGTGGTGGAAAACTGATCATCACTCTATTCATGTCAGCCCCAGTGTCAAACCTGGTGGACAAGAATGCGGATCAAAATGAGTTTCCTTCACAGTGTCTGTTTTAAAAACTTCCTAGACCCTTTCTGAACACCTTCCTAGACCTTCTTAGTCCCTATTGCTCCTCATGGTTAACCTCCTGCTGAGTTCAACCTTACGGAGAAGGTAGGAGAAGGAAAGGACCTTATGATTCTTATGTCTGTCTGCTGGCCTGGGAATGTTTCGGGATTGGGCAAAAAATGGGAAAGAACATAGATGGATGTGTTTCTCTTGTTATTTTCATCAGATCTGTACTGCAGTGTCAGAAAAACAATTGTTAAGACAAGACAATACTGTTTCATCATAGTTTATTTTTGACACAAACATAGACAACTTTAGCCACTACTGTAATTATGCTTATGCCACCAATGAGGAATGTGCAAAGTGCAGTAAGCCAGTGCTGTTGACAAAGGCCTGGGTTCCATGTGTGTTTGTGGCCCTAACGAGACTAAACATGGAAAGCCTCACATACTTTTGCAAGCTCG